TTAAACATAGGAATTCATCACAGCTACTGGGTAGATGGTAGCTAGAGCTGTGAACTTCCAATAGCAGCCCCCTAAAAATTTACCCATGACCTTGATATTCCTGAGGCTGCCTTGGCTCACATCCTTCCCAGCTAGTTCAACTCTTTACCCATATTTTTTTAATGTTTTTTTCATTAGCTAAAGTTGGTCTTAGCAGCTTGCAGCCATCAGATTGTAATGAAACAACTAACTTAATAGCCAAATTTGTCTTAATTTGATAGATGAGAATACTTAGGGCCAGAGAGGAAAAATGATTTGCCTAAGCACACATGGCTATTCTGCAGCAGAAATGGATTTGGAAATCAGAACTAATCATTCCAACTCACAGATCTTTCTCTTATATCACACTATCTCTTAGATTCAAAATCTCTCCCTAGATGCAGCCAACCACTGAACATAAAGATATTCCTGTACATAGACTCTGTGATATAATTTAGCCTTTTGGAAGTGGGGAAAAGAAAAACAGCTAGAAAGGAATTAGAGGAGTAAGTACCAGATGAGATGGCAAGTTTATGAAATGCAATGCTTCTGAGGACTACTCATCTACTGAAGTTATATTTTTAAAATATATTTCATTGATTATGTTATTACAGTTGTCCTAATTTCCCCCTGCCCGCCCCCCCAACCCAGGCAAAGGTGATAAAGTACCAATAGTTACTCTGGAATCCCATCTCCTGTTTTGCAGGTGGTTCTCAATCCCTATCTTTCTAAAGAACATAACTGGCCTTTAATTTATATTAATTATAAATATAATGCATGCACATGATATAAAGTTCAAACTATGGGAAGCAAACTGCTTTTACAAATGTAACACTCTAGCATTAGTCTCTACAACTGCTTCTTCTATCCCTACCTGTGACCCTTACTCTTAATGGTCCATCCCACACTGTTCTACACAGATGTTCAAGGAGAATTCTTGGAAAGAGTGCTTCTGAAAAGAGGGGTGGATGAAAGCTTGATGGGAATGGACTGAGGGGAGGTAGTATAGATAAATCTTTCAAGGCATGGCTATAGAGGGAGTAGAGAAAATAGCTACAATTGTTTTAGCAAAAATTCTAGATGATTTCCTTTCCTTTCTTATACATTCAGAAAAAAGACTTATTTATCCTCCTGTGCCTTGTAAGTTATTTAAGATCTAAGTTACAGTGGAAATAAAAACAACATTCAGGTAATTTAACTAAATGTGCTCAATTTCAAAAAATTCTGCTTGTGTCTTCAAAGACATTTTACTGAATCCCATCTGACTGTAAAGAACGTCCTCAAAATATTTTCCTTGCGTATCTTTTATATTTTTCTAATTTTATTTTATTGACTATGCTATTACAGTTGCCCTGATTTTTCCCCCTTTCTCCCCCTCCACCCAGCCCTCCCACTCCCTCAGGCAATCCCCCCACCATTGTTCATGTCCATGGGTAATGCTTATAAATTCTTTGGCTACTCCATTTCCTATTCTGTAATTTACATCCCCATGACTACTCAGTAACTACCTATTTGTAATTATTTTTTAAAATATATTTCATTGATTATGCTATTACAGTTGTTCCAATTTCACCCTTTCCCCCCCAACTCTGCACACCCCCTCCCACTCCTATTCCCCACCCCCTTAGTTTATGTCTGTGGGTCATACATATAAGTTCTTTGGCTTCTATATTTCCTATACTATTCTTAACCTTCCCCTATCTATTTTGTACCTGCCAATTATGCTTCTAATTCCCTGTACCTTTTCCCCCAATTCCTCCATCCCTCTCCCTGCTGATAACCCACCATGTAATCTTCATTTCTGTGATTCTGTTCCTGTTCTGTTTGCTTAGTTTTTATTTTTTAAGTCCAGTTGTTGTTTGTTATTTTACTACTAACATTTTTTATCTTCTTTTCTTAGATAAGTCCCTTTAACATTTCATGTAGTAAGGTCTTGGTGATGATGAACTCCTTCAACTTGATCTTATCTGGGAAGCACTTTATCTGCCCTTTCATTCTACATGATAGCTTTGCTGGATGGAGTAATCTTGGGTGTAGGTCCTTGCCTTTCATGACTTGGAATACATCTTTCCAGTTTCTTCTTGCCTGTAAGGTTTCTTTTGAGAAATCAGCTGATAGTCTTATGGGAACTCCTTTGTAGGTACTGTCTCTTTTTCTCTTGCTGCTTTTAAGATTCATTATCTTTTTTTTTTAAGATTTTATTTTTAGAGAGGGAAGGGAGAGAGAAAGAGAGAGAGAGAGAGAAACACCAATGTGCAATTGCTGGGGGTCATGGCCTGCAACCCAGGCATGTACCCTGACTGGGAATCGAACCTGCGATGCTTTGGTTCGTAGTCCGCGCTCAATCTACTGAGCTACGCCAGCCAGGGCTAAGATTCTTTCATTACCTTTAATCTTGAGTAATGTAATTATGATGTACCTTGGTGTGTTCCTCTTTGGGTACAACTTCTTTGGGGCTCTCTGGGCTTCTTGGACTTCCTGGAAGTCTATTTCCTTTGACAGATTAGGGAAGTTTTCCTTCATTATTTGTTTAAGTAAGTTTTCCATTTCTTGCTCTTCCTTTTCTCCTTCTGGCACCCATATAATATGGATGTTGGAACGTTTAAAGTTATCCTGGAGGTTCCTAAGCCCCTCCACATTTTTTTTTTGAATTCTTGTTTCTTCATTCTGTTCTGGTTTAATGTTTAATTCTTCCTTTGGCTTCAAACCATTGATTTGAGTCCCAGTTTCCTTCCCTTCAGTGTTGGTTCCCTGCACATTTTCCTTTATTTCACTTGGAATACCCTTCACTTTTTCTTCTATTTTGTGACCACACTCAAACACTTTTGTGAGCATCCTGATTATGAATGTTTTGAACCCTGCATCTGATAGGTTGGCTATCTCTTTGTCACTTAGTTGTATTTTGTATTATTTCTGGAGTTTTGATCTGTTCTTTCATTTGGGCCTTTTTTTTTTTTTTTGTCTCAGCATACCTGTCCCATAGTAAGGGACATAGCTTTAGGTATTTGCCAGGGTAGGGCAACCCAAGTAACTGCATTGTGGCATTGTATGTGGGGGAGGGGTCCAAGAGGGAACAATGCTGCTTGCTCAGCTCTCTACCAACTTTCAGTCACTTCCTTCACTACCCACAAGCAAACTGGGTTCTTCTGGTGCTGATTCCCATGTGGGTGGGTTTGTGTATATTCTAGGATGCTGTGAGTCTCTCCAATGAACTCTCCTGTGAGGCTGGGGGGTTTTCCTGCTGCTGCAACCCCCACAGATATTTTCAGTCTGAGGTTTTGAGGCTTTATTTTCTTGCACTGGAACCCTGGGTTGCGTGGTCTGTCTTGTTCCCCAGTTGTTCCTCCAGGCTTATCCACATGCTAATATGGGACCACCTGATCCATTTGCCATTGCCTCACCCACAGGGATCCTCCAGCCACTGCCTTGCCATGTGTCCTCTCCACCCCAGCTGCCTGTCTGCACCCCTCCTACTGGTCTGGATGAATGTTTCTTCTTTAACTCCTTGGTTGTCGGACTTCTATACAATTTGCTTTTCTGGCGGTTCTGGTTGTTTTTTTTTTTTTTTTTGCTTTTAAATTTGTTGTTGTCCTTCTTTTGGTTGTGCAAGGAGGCACAGTATATCTACCTACACCTCCACCTTGGCCAGAAGTCCCTAGACTTCTTTTCCAAGGATGATGCACGTTGAATGTAGACAGAGGACATGCATATTTCCATTATATTTCTTTTGCTACCATCTAGTGGCAGTTCTAAGTAATGCAAAGAAGTGTAAGAAGCCTAGTGTCCAGAACAAGAAGACTTGGGTGACCAAGTATTTTTTATTCTCTTTGTCCATGCAGTACCCTCATTGAGCTGGACTGTTTCCAATTGAGGCTAGAGATTCAGTCTGCTGATATGCACTGATGATAACACTTAACCTTCTCAATGGCACATACTAAAAACATGTTTCTGGATCCTGTACAAAGCAAGAAAGTGGACCCCTGAAAATGACAAGTGTAGTCCAACTACAGTTCAAGCAAAAGCCATGAGGACGTCACGAAAAATAATCCCATCATTGAACAAGCAACATGATATGTTTATATTACAGACAAATGTCTTACAGTGAGAAAAAAGTATTTCCTGTAAAAAATGTGCTGCCCTGTGTATATATTAGTTCATATTTTTGGTGTTGTGTCTTTGGGACCAACACCTAGAAACATAATTTCTAGGTCAAAGGTAATTACATATATACATCTGCTAGATATTGCCAAATTACCTTCTGTAGGGGTTCTGACATTTTGAATTCCCATCAACAATGTGCAAATTTGGCTGATTCTCCACAGCCATGATAACTAAATAGGGTTAACACTCTTGAATGATACTAATCTGATAAGTATGACACCATAGATTCTTATAGCTTGTTTGTCATTATTATTGTTTGAGTCAAGGTCTATCCAGGAAATACTAAATAGCAGACCAATTATTTTAATAGAGTTAACAAAATACAGATAAAATGTTAAACACATATTGGTGGACCAGGGGATAACAGAGAGACATAAGTCTAATCATCTAAATTAAAACTCTTCACATTTGTAATATATAGAGAGACTTTGATATTCTAACTGAATCCTGACTTCTATGGCTGCCCACAAATCATCATAATGCCCCCTCTAACTGACCTGTTCAAATTCTGATATTTAGTCTTTTAATCACACTGAATAGAGAGGCTTCTCATATCCTAGGTAACCCATTTAGATTGCCTTAAAGATAAAGATATAGCCAGGTGTGGGGGGTCTTGCTGGAATCTGAGAAAGATATTGATTTCACAAGCTTTGTTTAAATCAGCCTGTCTCAACTTCCTAATTTTTAAAAAATTTGTGCCTGACACAGTCAAGACTGAGAATGGGAAGCTTGTCATCAATGGAAAGTCCATCTCTATCTTCTAGGAGTGAGATCCCACCAACATCAAATGGGGTGATGCTGGTGTTAAATATGTTGTGGAGTCCACTGGTGATTTCACTGCCATGGAGAAGGCTGGGGCTCACTTGAAGGGAGGAGCCAAGAGGGTCATCATCTCTGCCCCTTCTGTAGATGCCCCCATATTTGTGATGAGTGTGAACCATGACAAGTATGACAACTCCATGAAAATTGTCAGCAATGCCTCCTGTACCACTAAGTGCTGGCAATGCCCCCCCCCACTCCCCGCCCTGGCCAAGGTCATCCATGACAATTTTGGCATCATGGAGGGACTCATGACCGAGGTCCATGCCATCATTGCCACCCAGAAGACCATGGATCACCCCTCTGGGAAGCTGTGGCAGGATGGCCGAGGGGCAGCGCAGAACACTAGCTCTGCTTCTACTGGCACTGCCAAGGCTGTGGGCAAGGTCATCCCTGAGCTGAATGGGAAGCTCACTGGCATGGCTTTTGGTGTCCCCACCCCCAGTGTGTGGGTTTTGGATCTGATCTGCCTCCTGAAGAAAGCTGCCAAATACGATGATATCAAGAAGGCAGTAAGTAAGGCAGGCATCAGAGGGCCTCCTCAAGGGCATCCTGGGCTATACTGAGGAACAGGTTGTCTCCTGTGATTTTAACAGTGACACCTACTCCTCTACCTTTGATGCTGGGGCTGGCATTGACTTCAATGACCAGTTTGTGAAACTCATTTCCTGATATGACAATGAATTTGACTATAGCAACAGGGTGGTGGACCTTATGGTCTACTTGGCCTCCAAGGAGGAAGAACCCCCTGGACCACCAGCCCCAAGGACAGGAAGAGGGGCCCTCAGCTGCTGGGTAGTTCTTGCCCCAAATCGATCCCCCAACACACTGAGAATCTCCTGATTGCCAGTTTCCATCCTAGACAGCCTGAAGAGGGGAGGGGCTTAGGGAGCCCTACCTTGTCATGCACCATCAATAAAGTTCACTATATCCCACAAAAAATAAAAATTACAAATTAAAAGTTGTGCCTGAGAGCTCTCCTGACAAATTAGGAGGCAGAGCAGTACACTTTACAAGCCACTACAATCTTGGCCCAGTCTCAGAGAAAAAATGGAAAACTACCCTGTCTTGGGCTTCTGGCCTCCAGAACTGTGAGAAAAATTAATGTTTTCTGTTTAAGTCTGTGGTATCCTGTTTGACAGCCCAACCAGACTAGTATAATATCTAATGTATGTAAAGCACCTGTCACAAAATGGTGCAAATATTTTCTTCATTATCTTCTGCACTTCCAACACAAATATTAGATTTTCTGTTACACTTTTCCATGCAGATACTATGACAAAGCATCTCAAGATCAGCATTTTCTAAAACAAATTATTCATCTTTTCTCCCTAACTTCCCAGTCACCTAGACTAGAAACCTTCATCACTATATTTCCTTTCTTGTTTGCACCTCAGATCTGAAGTCTTCAGGTCTGTCCATGGTGTCACCACAGCATCTTTGCTCCTCCTCTGTACTCCCAACTCAAGAACCCAACTTTAAAATTTCTTACTACTTGGATATTCTAATTGACTCTCAGTGATACCAAGTGGTCTCCTTAATTCAAGCCTCTGCCTTTCAAATAATGTAAAAATAGTCTCTCCAAATTACCAACTTAAAATCTCTTCCAAAATCATCATCAACTTTCCAGTTTTGGCAGATCTGGAATTGTTTGGTCATAAGCTTGACAAAAAGATGTATGTGTTTAAAAACTTGCAATATCCTTTACATGCTCCAAATATGGTTTTAAAGAGAAAAACTAAGTTTGAGGCCATTTAAGAGTTGGAAATGACATTAATTTTTCTAAAATTATATACACTCTATGTATAGGTATTTTAGAATTCATAGAGCATAAAAGATGATTCTGGGTCATTAAAAAATTATCATCCAGTTTAGGGGAAGGTGAGGTAAGTAGCTTTCCAGGTCCTTTCAGACCATGAGAATCTCTGATTCCTTCAAGTTTGGTGCCATTTTATACACTTGTTCTTTCATTAATTACTTCATTTGACAAATATGTACCACATGCAAAGTCAAAGAATAAACTATTCAACGAGGAAGGATCTCTAAGAGAATAGAAAATATTGAAGAGGGATAAGGGTGGCACATGGGGGACAAAAAGTTCTAAGTGGAACTCTCCTGCTAGATAGGTATGGTAGCAGACAGCCAGGCTGGGAACTTTCTAGAACTATTTACCTCTTTTTCTAACCTTCTTTAGGTACTTCTTCCCTCTTGGTATCTCTCCATTAAAACTTTCAATTGAACGACGACTATAAGCCAAGAGCTCACATTCTAGTAGGAGAAAGGGAGAATGAGAGACTGAAACATGAATCATTACAATTCAGCTTAAAGGAAGAACATCTAAGGAAGGTTTGAGGCCAACTTTCTGGAGGCCTACCTCAGAACATAGGTCAAAGCCAAATAAGCAAAATTATAGAGCTAGTTTGGAGTTGTCATTCAGTAAGAGGCAGGGAATGAAAGGAGATAAGATTTGAGCCCCAAGGCAGGAGATGAAACCCTATAGGTCTAATTAGCCAAGCAGGTTTATTCTGGGGGTAGCTTTTCTTTTGGCAATAGAGTTATTTCTCACTGGGTCATCATCTTTTAACCTATGCTCTAAAAACCTTCATGCATCCAATCTATTTCACTTTAAAGATCGATATTTAAGGCACTCCTGGAGGTCCATTTCAGCCTCATCTCCCACAACACTCTTAGATGAAATTGGAATGCCAGTGAGATAGTTTCGTGCAGCTCTTCTCTGAGGTGAGATTCTGCGCTTTGCAGCTTCCACTGCATCATATACTTTTGCCTCTCCCCTTCTTCCTCCCTGCTGCCCACCACTACCACCCTTTCCACCCTCCTTGACACAGTTACACACAGAGCCTTCACATCTTTAAAAGTCTAGTACAGGTGTGGCAAGCTGACAAGAAGGGTTATGACTTTTAAAATCTGGATTTCTCATTTCTCTTGAAAAATCACGAGCTGGCATACCCAGATCTGAATCTCTGAATGGCAAAAAAAAAAAAAAAAAAAAAAGGCTGACACTGTCAGAGTTATCATTTTAAATGGGCAGGTGCATTCCATCTTATAACACTCATTTCATGCATTTGCACTAGCTGCCTGGCCTCTCCAGGTTTTGGGGTTTGAATTCTCTAAACTAGTGTTAAATATTATCTCTTTTAAAATTTTATAATGTTTAATCCTCATCTGAAGATATGTTTATTCATTTGAGAGGGCGAGGTAGCGAGATCAATCAGTTGCTTTCTGTACAAGCTCCAACTAGGGACAGAATCCACAACCCAGGTAAAATATCATCCCTTTAGAGATCCCTTCCTTCTTTTCTGTACCAGATATGTTATTTCAATTTGAAAGGCAATCACACTGTGTACTCATAACATTTTGTTACTTTTAATCTAATTTACATTTTCTACCAGTTTTTTATATACATGGCAGTGTTCAACAGATACTTCCTTAACAAAATGAAATTACCCCCCTAACATGGTTAATAAATACTGTTTGTGGATATATACTTCTATTTTTAAGAGGTACTCCTATTACCTGTCAAAAAATTCATAGGTTCTTAAATTTCTTAGAGACTTATTAGATGGTTCTTGCCCTTTATAGGTATCCTTTTCTCTCATGACTCAGCAAAAACAAACCAACAAAACTCTCACCTTTAAATTTATGGGAAGTAGTACTTTTGTCGATAACAATTTCAGATTTGATTCAGTAGCTTCTCTGCCTCTGATGACCTAAGCTAAGTAAATTCTAAACAATGTCCTAGACTCTATGATAAGTCCTCTACCTGCATTGTGATTTAATTCCCTCCACAATTCAACCATAGGTATCTTATCCAATTTAGTCAAGAACAAAAATTCAAATTGCCCAGTTGCTAGGTAGGCAAGATGTAAACCCAAGTAGGTTGAAACCGGGACCCAAAGTCTTCATCATTAAATCCTGCCTACCCTCATCAAAGATTAGTAGTATGTAAGTATCTTGGACACGATTTCATATAAGCACATCACTACTCTCAGTAAAGAGTTATAGCAGTGGTTCTCAAAGGGTGTGCTAGAGTAGCATTATCACCATCACCTGGGAGCTCGTTAGAAACATAATTACTTGGCAACTGCCCAGACCTACTAAATTAGTAATTCTGGGAGTGGGCCCAGAAATCAGTATTTTAAGAAGCCCTCCACATGATTCTGATGCATGCTGAAATTGACAATCAGTTCAGATGTCCCTCCTATGTGCTCTCATAGTAGTTTCCTTTACATATTTACGTAGTTTTCCAATTCCTCTACTTAATTACCCACTTAACCTAAATTCCTTTAAACTGTCTTGATCAATTTTATTTCTACCACACTTATTAGATAATTGAATGAATAAAAGACTATGGAAGCCAAGGATTTTTAACAACCCACCTTACTCACTGGTGTAGGACAGAAGAAATTTCAACAATGTAATGACTTTGGAGCTTCCCCCCTCCCCACTACCCCGCAATAAAACATCCAGAGATTGTGTAAGGAGACAGAAGAATAAAGGAATTCAGCTTGGTAAACCTGAGTTATGGTGGAAATTCAGCGCAACATTAAGGGGCAGCATATTTTCATACAAGAGTGTATTCAAAGCAGCAGTGCTTATAACTCACATTCTACCATTACTTAATTTCTAGTAGTGGAACATTCCCATTCATTCATTAATTTAGAGCAGCTGTAATTTTTTTCTCCCCTTACACTCCTAAAAGGAGTGTGAGGCTGCAGTGCCGCATGTTGATACCACCAGAAGGCTACAAGTGCACTAACCTATTTGCTCCTAGTTTTATGACTCTAAAAAGAAACGCACACCACCATTAAACTGGGAATACATCAAAACCTGAAAGTATTTGCTTCATTTTTATAGAGAACAGAGAAAAAGTCTATTCAGGATAAGTAAACTATAGAAAAAGTCTATTCAGGATATAGTGTAAACTATAAAATCTAACAATATACAGGTCTTTCTGTAGCAGGACCCTGTGGCTGATGCCAAAATTGCAAAACTCATTTTATTTAAGAAGGTGGTATTAGTCCCAGTCAGAAGTTATCCCACACATAAAACTGCTACAAATATCACTGATGGTAGATCCTCAAAAGGGCCCCATAGCCACACCTTTATAGTCATTGCTTCAAAGTGACTTGGCTGTGATTAATAGGACACTTGCTAAGCAGTCAAAGATCAAGTTTTCTGTAAAAGATAACAGCATTTAAGTCATACAAAACACTTCTTAGATATCCTACTGGGTGAAACTGCTGCCAACAAGGCCAAGTTCTATGACCCTGCCCTAAGGACGAGGCCAGGAGGCAGGAAAAGTTCAACTCTGAGAAAATTAAAACCAGGCAAAACAAGAGACTCTTCCAAAGCTGTGATGTTGCCTAAATCACTAAAACTATTTCCCAGAAGAAAAATAAACAGGTGGTACAGTATGCAAAGTATTCCATTTATTTTTATGAATAACTCATTTGTATACCAGCAACTAGCATGATTATAAAAGATACAAAAAATTAGAAGAATGTTAGCATTCAATAGAACTAGAATCTGAGCTGAAGGCTGCTGATCAGAATGTCTGACACATAGCACTGTTCTGACGCTAGCTGAAAAATGTTTGCTAGACTGTAAATCAGGGGTGTCAAACTCATTTTCACCAGGGGCCACATCAGCCTTGAGGTTGCCTTCAAAGGGCCGAATGTAATTTTAGGAATGTATAAATATAAGTACTCCTTAACAGGTAAGTGAGAGCTTGACACTGCTGCCAGGTAGCAACAAGGTGCCCGGATGGATAAAACATGGTGGAGGGCCTGATTCGGCCCATGGGCCTTGTTTTTGCTACCTGTGCTGTAAATAATTCATATAACTCAGAAAAGTTTAACTCAGATTTCAAAATCTACACATTAAGCTACAATGCACTGACATTTGCATTAAATAACTTTTGCTGTTGACACATTTGTTTAGGTTTACTTACAGTTTTCAAAAGGGAAAGGAAAGCAGGAAGGTGTATAAATTGTAGACTTTTTAAGTAGCAAGTTGAAATTGCTTTGGTAAAATATGATTTGGTTATTTATTCTTGCAGGTCTAAAATGCTACCTCAGTTTGTCACAGAACACAAAAATGCCCAAGTCAAAAGGCATGGGGATGTATCAATATAAATCCATCCCAACTTCTGGAAAACTGACACAGTATAAAACCATCTCAAAGAACAGTGCTAGCAAGAATGAGACATGTCATCTATGTTTTCACTTTGACTTCTAGTATATCTCTTATTAAGAACGTGGAGAAAAACAGGGAAATTCTATTCCTTTACCAACTGTCTATAAGAAGGAAACAAAATAAAATTAATACAGAGTGATGGGCCTTGTTAATTAAGAATCTGTGAATATGAATATATTTTAATAGTATTAAATCACACAAACTGATGATTAATATATTATAAAACTTTATAATCATAAAATCTCCTCATCTATTATGGAACTTCAAAACCAATAGGATTAACTTCTTTTCCCTTTTAATTACTCCTTCAACAGAAAGTCTTAAAACTGAGTAGTCATCAAAATTTCTACATTTTTGCAGGTCATTAAAACATGATTGTTTTTGTCAAAATTATGCAGAAAGCATTTTCGAGTGAGGTCAAGGGTCTTACAGACTCTCAAAACATATTTTCAGTTCTTTGTACTCCAGGTTACATAAAATAAATGAGAGGACAGTTGGACTCATGTAATTTCTTTCCACCCAATGTCATCAAACTCCCAGTGTTTCCATACTAGGAAAGGGTACAGTATTTAAGCGCTCTATTACAAAGGATCTCTAGTCCTAAAAGAGATTTTTTTTCTCTTTAAGAGGGCTGAAACAGTGTCTCTTACTCAGCGAATACCAGTTACTGACTTCCTTCTTGTACCAGCTTTCCAAGCTGATACTAAGTGAGTTTTTGATCTAATATTTTTGCCTGGAGTTTTGTGAGGCTTCTTTTCTTTGTGCACCTTCATGTGCTGCCTAAGATGAGAGCTCTGGCTGAAGCATTTGCCACATTCACTGCACTGGTAGGGCTTCTCCCCTGTGTGGGTTCTCTGGTGCTGAATAAGGTGGGAACTCTGGCTGAAACATCGGCCACATTCATCACACTGATAGGGTTTTTCTCCAGTATGAATTCTCTGGTGCTGAATGAGGTTTGAGCTCTGTTTAAACCTTTCTCCACACTCATCACATTTATAAGGCTTTTCCCCAGTATGGATCCGACGATGCTGAATGAGATTAGAACTCTGAAAGAAACTTTTCCCACAGTCAGCACATTTATGGGATTTCTTTCCAGTATGGATCTTCTGATGTTGAAAGAGAGTTGAGCTCTGACTGAAACTTTTTTCACATTCAGTACATTTATAGGGCTTCTCATCCAAGCTTCTTTGTAGTCTACTCAAACTCGAGTCAAACCGAACAGTCACTCCCCATTTTTGCCCTTGCCGGCCTATTCTGCGCTGGTTCTCAGAAGTCTTTCCTTGGCTTGAGGTCTGAGAAATACTTCCCTTAAGTTTCCCTAACCGCATGGTGAAGAGCCAAATGTACTCTTAACAAAGTCTACTCTCTTCTTCTGAAATACTGTTTCTCTTCCTAGAGCTACATAGCTCGAATTTTCTGGGTGTAGAAGAAAAAATAAAAACAAATTACAGATGATGTTAAAATGTCAACTTTATATCTCTGTAGACCCATCTAATTTGCATCCATTTTTTAAATTAAAAATGTATTCAATACATATTAAAAACAAAAACAATTTTTGGGAAAAATACTTACAAAATAATTCTAATAATTCCAGAGTTTAAACTTGATATCACCAAATGAATAGGTCTTAATATTTACTCCCATGTTAAACTTCAACTCACTGGTGACTAATTAAGGAGTCAAAATTAGAAAGAAATGACAAATCATACTATTTTATTAAATATTTGTTTATCCTTATTTGTTTATCCACTCTACTTGCACAGCTATAAGTAACACCTTAGCCCTAACTTTTAGCATAAATTTTTTGAAAGTAGAAACTATAAGACTAGTTTCTGTGAGTTCGTTCAATAAATGCTGACTGAGAAAAACATCCATGAAGAGATGCTTTATTATTATTTTTTCTAGATTTAAATGATCAAAGAGGACAATTCTTTGAAAATTTGAAACAAGATGTTTTCTGAAAGAGAAAAAAATTTAAGAACTTTTATAGGATAGTGAAATGAATTTGAGTAGGAAAAAGGGCGGTAAGTAGAACACAAGAAAGAAGGATGAGGAGAAAGTTTACATGTAAAAATAGGAATGGAATTTAAAAAATATCCAAATGCCGAAAAAATTCAAAATTTCAAAAAAATTAATTTCATTTACTTACATATAAGGTTACTTAAAATACTGGCCATTAACAGCCACAAACTTGAAATAAGTGAAACTGTAAGAGGAGCTAGGCTGCAAAAGTAATAAAATTATTCTATTTTCACATCATATGTCAGGAAATAGACTTTAAAAATGAGAATAATTACCCTGGGCCTCTGCAAACAAATTTCGACAGCAGATTACTGAAAATACAAATGACATCATTGTTCTAATGTTCCTTCATCTAACTATACCTGAGACTTCAGGCTTGATCGTGTTGAGGAATTTATCTGGACATTTAATAATTATATCCGCTGCAATTGTGGTAAGTATCAGGAAGAGCAAACTTCATAGAAAACAAAATTACAGCGCTTTCACTACTTATTCTTTAAAATTAGTAAATATTTATAGGACACCCATTGCAAGGAGACATTTGTTAGGTTCCTGGTGTTAAAAAAAACCTGCAGAAAGAATAATTATACATTAAAAAAACACACACTAATATTATGGAAGTCAGACTGGTGGGGAAACTCTATCCACCTAGAACACTACAGATGAGGAAATCATACTACTAGGCAGCTTGCATGGCAGACACAGTGCTATCCTATTTGATTCTCGCAGCAGCTTTATGCGACTATCCCCATCCTAGCAGCCGGACCCCTGGGCCTATCAGCTCAGTGGCAGAACTGTGTGCAGCCACACTTCAATGCCAAGTTCAGCACTCGGACTGGTGAGCCACATCATTCCACTCAGGTGCGGGTTTTAAGGTAAGCTTGAGGGATGGGAGCCGCTACTTGTGGGAACACAGGTAATCGGAATGTGGCTGTTTCTCACACATAAAATTAAAATGACAAAGCAGCTACGTCAGAAGTGGTTATGAGTTTAAATGAGTCACCATTTGTAAATCCCTCAGAACAGCTCTGTGCTACCCAAACATCCGTTCAATGTTTTGGCCCCAAAATGCGCAGCGCGACTAATGTCATAAGGCCCGGGCCCGCCCGCCTCTGTCCCCAACCGCTGGGCTCCCGTTAAGGCTTCCGCCCTTCGGAGGCCCCCAACTGCTACTTCTCACGTGCTGGGCCTACCTGCTTTCTCGGCCCACAGCCCTCCGGAGGAGCGGGAAGGCGAGGTCTAGGTAGCCACTCCGACACCCGGGATCACTCTGCCCCGCTACAGCCGGCTAGCGCAGTTCGGGGGCTAATCGCACGGCTGCAACAGTCGGCCCACTTACCATTCCTCGCTGGCCACTGTCGTCACTGTCTAACTGGGCGTCCCAGCCCCGAGTCACCGGAAGTGAAAGCCCCCACCTTGGCTGCGCCGCTGCAGTCGTTCTAGGAACGTGGTGGAGCCACCCTCTATGGTCCTAGCCCACCGGAAATTAGAAACTGTTTTTTCCGGCTCTTTTCTCCAGATGCTCCAGAGGTATCCTGTGGCTCCTCCTTTTGTGATCATCCTATTGGCCGTGGTGTCTGCGCTGTGGACCAAACAGCAGCCTGCCCACTCGAAACTTTTTTATGCAGATATGGAGCACTTACCAATTTTAAGGGACTACTTTTGGAGAGCCTAAACTATTCTTGAGCTTTTTCATATGTCACCTTATTTCACTATAACCAAAAAGCCTCTGTGAGACCGGAATGATCATACTCATTTTACATATCAGGAAATCAAGGCTTAGAAGAAGTTTGATCAACTTTACAGTGTATGGGTGGATGACCAAGGATTGGAACAGGTCTTTTCCTGAAGTCTCGTGATTTTCAACACACCTCGGGTTCTCTTCGCTTGCTGTATCTTCTCTTCAGCCAAGCTTCTCTTCTCTTCTCTTCAGATGGCCAGTACTGGGTCATCTGACCTCTCCGCTAGTACCATCATTCCCCTGCCAACTCCTCCAGTCAGTGACTTCAGATACCATCCATATGTGCTGAAGACTCTTGAACTGGTAACTCCAGTCCCAGTCTGAGATGCGATTACTATTGAACTCCAGATTTGTATATCCAGTCGATTACCCAGCACTATTTGCATGTGGGATGGATACTGCAAACTTAACATACCCTTGAATGAATTTACCATACTCACCTAACCTATTACTTCAACAGTCTTCATCCTAGCAAATAATGGCAACTCAGGCTTCAGTTGCATAGGCCCAAAATGATGTCATTGTTGCCTTTTTCACGCAAAATCCAAATCCAATTCATTGAAATTCTGTTGGCTTTATCTTCAAAATATGTCCAGGATCAAGCTGCTTTCACCTCCACTGCTATAACCTTCAGCAAGCTGCTGTCATCTCCTGTCTAGATTATTGCAATGGCTTCCTCACTGGTCTTCCCAGTCTACTGACAACCCCAGAGAGATCCTCTTAAAACCCAAGTCAGAACATAGCAATAATTTTGTTCAAAACCTCCATAGGTTTCCCATGTCATTAGAACAAAAGCTCATGGCCTTAGAGTGGCACACAAAGCTGTCATGTTCTGTTTCTTGCTCCTTGTTGTGTCTGCCGCACCAAGAACAGTGCTTGGCAGGTAGTAGGCACTCAGCAAGTATTTGTTGAATGAATGCATTTATAAGATACCTCATTGTTTACGAAGTGTTTTTACATCTATTCTCTCATCACTCATCTTTATTATAATCTCATGATGCAGGGATCATTGTATTTGTCTTACAGATCAGTAAAAGGAGGCTGAGAGTGGAGGAGACTTGCCTGAGGTAATATCTCTAGTTGATGGTAGAGGCCAGACTAGCTCCAACTGGGGTTTTCTGCTCTGCAAGTGGGAAAGCATGAAACTGATTAAGGCCTGGACAAGGCATGTCAACTCTATAGTCCAGATAATAGCTAGACTGCTGTAAAGATTAAATGAGATACTGTAAGTGACTTGCCACAGTACATAACATAAATAAGAGGCACTGTTATTACTTTTATTATTAAATTATTATTAGAAGTGTTGTACCGGTAGTTGAAGGGGGTGGGGTAGTAGGCAATGGTCAGAGACAGCTTAGGATAAGTAGTGTGGACGCTGAGAAAGAAGTTCCCTACCAACAAAGGTTCAAGTTGGCTAATTGGGCTCAAATTTGAAAGAAGGCCTAGCAGCCCTTTCTAAACAGGGACCTTTCATGCAAGCCATACTTCAGGGAGAAGCCTGCCCTGAACTGCCTGCCTGCATTGTATTCCTGACTTCTGAGCCAGCCTTATACAGGAATTGCTGGAATTGTATTTCAGCCAATAGGACTGAGGCCTTTCCCCCATCCAATCAGAGCTGTGTAGCTATATTCCCCCTCCCCCATCAATATCTTCACTGACAAATTATAGTTCCATTTTGACCAATCAAGACAATGCTTTTTAGACCAATCAAACTTCAAGGAATTGAGTCCTCATTTGCATGAGGACAGACCAATCAGGGAGCAGAGGTGGAGACTTCTGTCTATATAAGTCAGCTCCCCTCTGGCTGGGGAGCACAATGCTCCTTTCCATGGAATATAGAAGGCCTTGTTTCTTCTACTGGTGTGGGGAAACACTGAAGCAGTCTTGCTGCAGCAGCAGAAGGGAGCAGAGCAGAGCTGTCTACCCCCAGGGCCACCTTGCAGCTGTGCTGTTCCACAGTTATGCTGCTTCATGGTTGAACTATAATGTTGAGCTGTTGGCACTGAAAAAAGTGGCACCAACCATCACTTGACAATTTCAAGAACCAAAGTGACCTGCTTTGGTGGTTCTATGTACATTAAAATAAGGTAAAATGTACTAAAAATATTTTATTAGTAAGATAGGCATTAATTAAAAGTTAACTCCTTTCATGACCTGCATAAAGGTGGATTATCCCTTTTCCTGTACCTGAAAACAATTGGGCCAGCTATCGAAGATTCAGAGATGTGTAGATTAGAGAAGTAGAGAAGTGGGTAAAGAAACACATTTTTAAAAGGAGAGAGATGAAAGTCATGAAATAAAGGGGTGTGGGTAGCCAGAAGTGGACAGAATAGGAGGTAGGGATCAAAACACAAATGACAGAAAAGGATATGGGGTGGGAAGGAGTAGGAAGATTACAGAGAAAAAGGAGGGAGGGAGAAAACAGGCAGGGTTTTGTGTCTTCTATTTATTAGTAAATAATAGTTAATACTTACTGAATGTTTATTATGTGCCAGGCACTGTTTGAAGCACTTATAGTTTCTCATTCAATATTCCTGTGGTATGGTTCCTGAGCATATGCTGTGCTCTTCTTGGATTTTTCATCTCTGCTTGTTGCTGTGTGACTTTCAGTGCCTCCTAGTGAATGACGACGCATTCCACTAATGTTGACTTTATGTGTGAATAGCATTGACTGGTCAACTGCATGAGTAGACACAAAGATACCATGTCCCATAGGAAGCTTTGAATCTCTGTTTCTGCCATTGCTCTGTTCTTTCCCTCTGCCTTGAGAATCCTGTGTCCCAAGTAGGGGCTGCTCCTCTAGTCTACGGCCCAAGAGAGAAGACACATGGAGTGGAGATAAATGCCTACCTGTAGTCACCTATAGTAAATTGTAACATAGAAATAAATTCTCTAGTTCAGGGGTGTCAAACTCATTTTTACCAGGGGCCACATCAGCCTTACAGTTGCCTTCAAAAGGCCAAATGTAATTTTAGGACTGTATAAATGTAACTACTACTTAACTAGGGGCAAGGAGCTTGGTGCTGCTGCCAGACAGAAACAAAGTGCTGGCTGGATAAAACAAGGTGGAGGGCAGGATTTGAGCCGTGGGCCTTGTGTTTGCCACTTGTGCTCTAGTAGTCACTGAGATTTTTGGTGTTATTTATTCCTGCAGCAAAGCTGACTTATATAACTCCAACAACTATTAAGAGATAGGAGGTTATTATCCTCATTTTACAGATGAGAAAATGGAACCTAGTAACTTGCCTAAGGTCACACACTCATATGGCATAGCCAGGCTTTGCTTTTAACTTCTACATAATAGTACCTCATAAATGGGGTTCCAGGTTACTTTCAAGCAGATTAAATTATTAAAAATGGGCACATATATTTACAAAACACAAGGACAATGAGGGAGAGAGTGGAAGGGATGGATGGTCAGGGCAGCAAAGAGAGGCTATGCTACCATCTCCTCCTAATAGCACATCCATCTAGGGAAACTGGGCTGAGACCAGATGCCTTGATGACTGGGGCTTCTCTGGAAATAGTACCCAGCAGTGTGTCTCTGAGTCCTGTGGTATTTTAATGACTCATTCAATGAAGAAGCATCTGGGATAAGAAAAATCCTGGTAAGAAGGATTCCTTTTACTATGGTTTCATCCTCTGCATCCCCACTCCTTTGCATGGACATACATGTGCATGCACACACACACACAGATGCATTGGTTCAACTGGGTGCTCTGGTACCTTGGGTCTTCATTTGGAAACAATGCAAGGGATGCTAGTCACATGTGTGGCCCAACTGCAGTAACAAGAGTGGCTCATTTACCGTGAAAATACCCTTACAATGTTTTTGTCCACCAAGCCTGAGGCTTTGCTTTCTGTTTCCTTTGAGTTGTCCAGGAAAGGAGATTCCTGAGCTGTTTAGGTTTGCAGAAAACATCTTAGAAGTCCATCCAGGAGGGAGCAGAGCCCCATCCTTCAAACTGAGTCCAGGAACAGGTCAGCAGCTGACTTGCTCCCAGAAAAATGCGACTCGTGCGGTCTAAATATGGTGTGTGCTTTCAGCTGTTTGTACACTTAGAACAGGTTGGCATGACTGCGCCCCCTGCCTGAACATAGTGGGGGTGGGGGGAGGCTGCTTCCCACCAAGATACCTGCCAAGGATATCCTGTTTCTACTCTGCAACTGCAGGGCACCTATGTTCCCACCCACATGGGGCATATTGTGGCTTGCCAGGTCCTCCATAAATCACCTGGTAAGACTAGATGATCTCTGTGCTTTATTTCCTGAGACTAATGGGCCAGATGTTCCTGGGTGAAGGGCGGTTTTGACAGTGGCAGGTCTTTAATCCATTTTCTGGTAAATATCCCAGGCAAGGTAGCATGTGATTGTCACCATGGGAAAAACAAGGTGTTTTTCTGTCTTCTATTTGTTCTGAACAAACCACCCTGTTTTTCCTGAGTCCATTTGTTCTTTTGCAATCATGTTGATATCATCGTGTGTTAATTATTTTTTTCTGGTGCCTGACCCCTGGCCTGGGAAGACAGTCCTGTTTTAGGAGAGGATACAGTCTCAAAGGAATCTTTACTTTATCTTTGGATACATTTATTACCTGAGATGCTAGTTAGTAAAGGAGCAGCTGAGAAATACTGTATGGTCTGTGGAGAGAGGAACCTGGAGCTCCCATAGAACCTTGTGGAGAAAAATCTGAAACTGGTATCACAGTGAGCTGAATTAAGCAGATTTTCAAATTCCCTCTGAGAGCAAATACAACATTGATAAAAAGGATGGGTAGGCCCCCCAGATTATGGTAGAAGTGAACATTTCCTCTTTCCTGTGCATCTTCCCTTTTCTTGTGCTAGTGAGTTTCTTAGCTATGATACTCAGAAGTTAGTTTTGAGGCATCCAAATTGGAAAGGAGGAAGTAGAACTGTCATTGTTTGCAGAGGACATGATAATGTACATAGAAAATTCTATAGATTCCACCAAAAAACTACTCAACCTAATAAGTGAGTTTAGCAAAACAGCAGGATTCAAAGTCAATATTCAGAGATGAAAGGCATTTTTGTACACCACCAACGAAATATCAGAAACAGAAATCAGGAAAAAATATCCCATTTACTATAGCAACAAGAAAAACAAAGTACCTAGGAATAAACCTAACCAAGGAGGTCAAAAACCTGTACTCAGAAAGCTACACAACACTGAAGAAAGAAATTCAGGAAGACACAAACAAATGGAAGCACATACCATGATCATGGGTTGGAAGAATTAACATCACCAAAATGTCCATACTACCCAAGCAATTTATAGTTTCAACATAATCCCTATCAAAATACCAATGACATATTGAGACATTTCTCCAAGGAGGTCATACATAGGGCCCAGAGACATATGAAAGGATGCTCAGCACCACTATCCATCAGAGAAATGCAAATTAAAACCATAATGAGGTACCACTTTATACCAATCAGAATGGCCATCATAAACAAATCAACAAATAATAAGTGCTGGCGAGGCTGTGGAGAAAAGGAAACCCTAATACACTGTTGGTGGGAATACAGACTGGTGCAGCCACTGTGGAAAACAGTATGAATTTACTCAGAAAACTAAAAATAGAACTGCCATTTGACCCAGCAATTCCACTGCTGGAATTATACCCTAAGAACCCTGGAACACCAATACAAAAGAACCTATGCACCCCAATGTTCATAGCAGCACAATTTACAATAGCCAAGTGCTGGAAGTAATCTTAGTGTCCATCGGTAAATGAGTGGATCAAAACACTGTGGTACATTTACACAATGCAATACTACACAGCAGAATGGAGCTTCTACCCTTTGCAACAATATAGATGGAACTGGAGAACATTATGCTAAGTGAAGTTAGACAGGTGGTGAAAGATAATTACCACATGATCTCACCTATAAGTGGAAACTAATTGATAAAACAAACAAGCAAGCAAAATGCAACCAGAGACATTGAAATAATGAAGAAGCTGATAATAACCAGAGGGGAGGGGGGAAGGAGATAATGGGGGAAAGCAGGGAAAGAGTAGTCAAGGAACATGTGTAATGGACCCACGGACAAAACTAAAGGGGGGGGATGGAGGGTGGGAGGTGAGGGTGGTACGACGTAGGACAGTAGTGGTGGGAAAATGGAGACAACTGTATTCAAACAATAAAAACGATTTAAAAAGTTAATTTTGCTAGTGTCTATTTTAAAGTGACACTTATCTAGACAATTATTAAATTAAATAATATTGTAAAAATTGCAAAAAACCCCTCCACCCTCACCACCACTCAAAAATAAACAAACAAAAAATGATGAGTGCTCACAGAAGGGTTCCTGATTCCATAGCATCCCATGTGCCATTCCCTGGTCTGTTTATACTGGCAGATGTCTCTTCAGCTGGAATTCTACACATAGTCTTATTACTCAGGTTCAGCCTTAGACCCCCTTCCAGGAACCTTCACTGGTTCTCTGCTCTACTGGTCCCTGACCCTTAGTGTATCTTGCCTGCTTCTCCTGGTGAGAACCCTGAACATGCTGTGGAGTGTGGTTGTCTTTGTCCCTCCAGGGCTGGGCAGAGGCCTTGTACAAGGAAGTCATTTAATTACTGCTGAACAATGGATGGTAGCTATCCTGAGACTGTAAATATGGGCTAGGGAGTAAAATGACTTGGCGGGGGGTGGGGAGCTGTTTGATTTGTTTTCTACCCTCTTCTAAGCCTTGTCACCATCCCACCTGAGCCCCTGCGTGGAAGATCCCTGATGCTGAGAATCTGTGATTTGGGGTGATTCTAGTATTTACTGTCCAGACCACCCACAGACCACAATAATTCCTCCTCCATGCCCTGTGGTTGCCTCTGTTCGCAGGTCCCATACCAATCCCCAGGATATGCACAAAAATGAAGGTGTTAGGTCAGTGTTAAGAGCATACCTGGGGCTCCACTCTGGCTCATCTGCCAAATTCAGCTACACACTGTACAGGATAAGAGTCTCAGAAATTACAGCAGGGGCTTAGGGTGGACACACATAAGTGAGAAGAAAGCTTGGTCCTGACTCCTTCCATTCAGTAGAGTATACCTTTATTGAGCACCTAGGAAACTGTTGTCATAGGAGGCAGACAACAGAAACTGTGGCAGGGCCACCCTGTATCTCTCTGCCTGCCTCTGTGACAATGAAGATGGCAGGACATATCCTATCTAGAGCTTACCCTGAACAGTGGATCTATACCACATGGCAGCCCCCAACCTCTGCTCTTCATGGGTGCCAGTGAGGAGACACCACTGGAAGCAGAGATGGAATCCCACCCATATTGGAAGCCATTGCGGTTCTTCCCCTTTAAGTCTGCTATCCATAGGCCACAGTGGAAAAAGAATTTGGTCTTCAGCTTGCTGACAAATACCACATGACTGATGTAATCTGTTGCATTATTTTGCAAAGGAGACTTATTTGTTTTAGAAATTCTCCATCAGCTGACAAACCCAAATTGTTTAGTATCTGGACCCAGGGAATTCAAAGTCCTTTATCTTCAAACTGACATTTCTTCTCATCGCACCCCTTTGACAGGAAGTACTGAGAGCAGAGAGACACAGCCTAGAGAGGGGCAGTGGACATGGGGACTGATTGAAGCCTTCTTGAGCTGCTGGTAGGCAGCCGCTGGACCCTGGACTATTGCCCATACGGAGTGTCATATTTTCAGTACCATGTGGGCTACCTCCTTCATGTGATCAAACTGGCATTTTTTTTTTTTTTTGCAGTGAGTTCCTTCTAAGAATTCCTTCAGGTATTGCTGAAGAAGTTCATAGTGCTGCAGAGAGAAGACACGATACTCTTGGTCTTATTCCTGGTCTGGCCTCCACCTCTGAGGCACTGGGCTGTATGAGGCTCATGGGTGATATCAGATGCTTGGAGGCCAAGGTGAAGTGATGGCTGGGAGCTGGCCATACTCCATATCTACAGGCAGCCTGTTTTTCCCAGCAGAGGTCCTATATGGCAGCATGAAGTGAAGACAGACAGAGATCTCATGGTTCATCTGGCTGATGAGGACAGGGACCATGGCCCTGAGGGAGCTCTGAGGCAGGAACCAGGAAAACAGATGAAGCCCAGACTCCAGGAGCTTGGATAGGTTACTGCTCTCCTAATCAGGAGAAGTGTGATGTGAACAGAGCTAGTCATGCCATCTAGCCACCAGAGTCAGGGCTGTTTGCTGCCAGTTCCTGCTGCTCATGCCTATGTCTGGGTCCTGTGAGCATTCACTGTGGAGCCAAGAGCCAGGGATATGGGACTTATGGGACTTAGGCAGGTAGGCAGGTAGAAGCATAGGTGCGGGATTTCTCAGGTGGTGGCCGTCAATCAGGGCCTGGTCACTTGCACTCAGTATGCACTGGCTGCTGGTGGCCTTGGAAGAGGGAGGCAATGGCTGTCTACTTGGTCACTACCAGCTGCTCCAGGCGCTGCAGCATCGTGAGACGCAGGGCTTGGAACCTGGTGGGAGACATAGCCAAGTAGACTCACTGACATTTTATGGGATGGGGTGTGGGGGTAGGAAGCAGAGCAAGGGAGCCACAGATGCTTGGGCTGGGAGACACAGAGTTCCCAATTGGCTGGTTAGTGTCATCACCTGTCTTCTGGCAAGGAGAGGAAAGAGCCAGGCCCACACCCTGTGGGACCGCTGGCTGCCAGAGGCAGTTGAACAGGCCTTCAGACACTGCCAGGCTTCAAAGATGAATGCTGCCATTTCTATTCCAAATACTGTCCAGTATGGACAGGAGCATGCTGGAATGGACAGGGCACAGATCCAGGGCGAGAAGCTCTGGATTCAAGCGTGAGCTCTATAATAACCTGTGCTTCAAGTTTCCTCACCTTGGGCCTTTTTCTCTCTGCACCCTGAACAGACTGACCAGGTTTCCAGTGACACTGCAAAATCCTACAGTGACACTGCTGACTGCAGTGCACAATGTTCCCTCTTATTGGGGTCTGTGCTGATGGCCTGCATGGGACCCAACTGCACAGGTCATTCAGGCAGATGCCAGAATCCAAGCAAGTCCTCAACTTCGGGCCCTAGCAATGAGCAGCCTCCTTCCTTCCCTTCCTAAGAGGAACTCATCCGATACATGGCTGAGCAACTCCTATGTGTCCTTTCCATGCTTCACCATGCAGAGGGAGAGACAAGTCATTGGGATGTGTAACCTGGCTAACCTCAAACAGCTGGGCCCTGATGTAGTTTCTGCAGGAGCTGGCAGGTGACATCTGCTCACCTTTCCATTGAACTGTTTTGCACCTGAAAACCTCATGATGCAGGGAGTTCCAACAAACATTCCTTTGTGGCTGGCTCAGATTTCCACTGGTATAAAAGGCCCAGATCAGGCTGAATGTGCACTGCACAGTTCCTCTCTTCATTGCTCCTTCAGAGCTGTATTACCAGCAGAACTCACAACCTGGTCCAGTGCCCACCCATGCTTCCACCTGACTCTCCTGCCCAGTTTTCAGCAGCCTGTGTCCCTCCAGTGGTTGTAAGGTGGTGAAGCTGGATGGTTGCTCTGGGCTGCATCTTGCCATTTTAGATTTTGGCATACTAGGCATCAATACCGGGGGCCAGAGGGCCATGCTGGAAGCCTGGGTTAGTAGGCCCTTGCACTGTATGAGGGCATCTGGCACATCTGGAGGAGAGAGAGTGCTCCCAGCCCTGTCCCTGGCTTATTTACCCTGCAGACCCATCAGGGTATTCATCAGGACCCATGACTGGTCCTTTAAGTGCTGCTTACTTCATGGTCAGTTTGATTATTTCTCTTTGCGCCTTTTAATTTTTCAACAAAACTGTCCAGCACCGGCATTTCAAACTTAATGTACTGAGCAATCTAGAAAATCCAAGAACATTTTATTGTGCTTTAAATTACAAGCCAAAAGACATGTTTCTTTTCCCCATGGTTTCTACAGTGGCTGACTGAGCAACATCTTACATCTGTGGAAGTGGGTGCCTCTCTCCCCATTGTCCTCAACATTGCTCTTTGTGTCTCAGGATGGGATGATGGGCCCATTCTTTCCTCAAAGGCAACAATTATCCCTGGGAGGAAAGATTAAGCTAAATATTAGGGAAAGCATTAAACAGCAATCAGAGGCACACTGGGTGCTCTCTGGGGTAAAGATGGGGAATGGTAGGGACACCACTTCTAACAATGGAATGAAAATGTACTGGACCATGGGACACAGGGTCACTGGGCCTTCTCCTTGTGGCCCAAACCTTATAAGCTTTTTCTTGTCAGGTGAGTTTGGAAATGTGCTCAATACCTGAGTATGAGGATTCAGGCTGTGATGAGACTTAGATGCCTTGTTCACTGCCTCAGGCCCTGGTTGAGCCCTAGTTAAGAAACCCATCTGTGGGTCTTTAATGTAATGACAACAGGACACACTGCAATGAAGCACAGGCAATGGTTTCCTAGAGCCCAATTTTTTTTCCTCTAAGCCAGCTGTTGGAGCTGGTAGTGGCTTGCAGGGAGGCCTGGAGCCATCACTGCACCTTGCTTGGGGTCCTTCAGGACAGCCATGTGGTCTCTGGAGACAATGTCCAAGAGAGCTGTGGCCAAGGTCACCTTTGGTCCTGAGAGTCCCCATGCTGTCAAGCCCCTATATCTCAGGACCAGGCCTCCCAAGCCTCATGCCCCACTCACATCATGGGGAACTTCCTCGCCCAAGTCAGCTTCCATCAGAAATATCCTGGCAATTTTCTCACATGGCCCATGCAGGATTCTGGAAATCAGTGGGTACTCACAGTCTTTTAATTTTGTCTGCTCTGAAAAAAAGGTGATTCACAAAATCCAGGGGGCATTATTGCTTCTCTTTGTTCCAGGACGGTCACATGATGGAAGACAGATATTCAGGGGACCCAGGGAATCTGTTCCAGACCTGCTGAGAACATTGCCCTGAATGATGTATGATCACGTCATTCAGCAAAGGCCCAATGGAAAGGAACAGACTCCAAGGGAGTGGGAAAGAAGAGAGAGCGGACACTGGGGCACTGGGCCACTTAGTTGCCATACTGTGCTGTACAAGTGCTACCGAGAGGAATGTGAAGGTTCTGAAATGGCACTTCTCAGTGGGTGCAGGGCTGCAGCTCCATCTTACAGACCCCAATACCCACCAAGCCTCCTAAATAAGTGAGGCTGGAGATGGTAGTTTCCTATGTGGTTGTGGTGGGACTCTGAAAGGGATGTCAAATGTGCCTTGGTTTGGGCTGGGGAGAGGCATTCATGGTGGAAGCACAGTGGGTTCCAAAGCCAGGAGGACAGTTGCCTGGTGCCTGCCACACAAGCCAGCACAGCCCTCAGAGAGGGAACATGATCAGTGAGACTGTCTAATGGACAGTCTTTTGTTTTAATGATCTGGAACAAAGGCAGACACTTACCCCCAGACTCATGAATGATGTAGAGGGCAAACTCACTAGGGCTATTTTCCACCTGTACCAGCAGAGATAGGAAGTCAGATCACATTTTTCAAGACAAGAGACAGAAAGGGACTCCTGAAAGTAACCAAACACCCAGTGGCACTCATACAAATCTCTAAGACCACCTTACGCCTACCCATCTTTGCTTCAAATCCAAGGGTGTATAGATCAGCAGAGAACCTTGCTAGACTTTCTACCCATGGGCCACAGGCAACTTTCCCCAATCTTCACCAACCCTCTGACACAACAACAACAACAACAACAACAACAACAACAACAGCAACAACAACAAAAGCTGGTAAACCACCACCACAGGGACAAGGCCATGCATGGCTAGACTTACTCGGAACTTGTTCAGCAGCAGGGTGAGCACCTTCAGGGTAGTCATGGTGCTATTGACCCTCACGTTGGTCATGGGCCCATATGCAGGAGTAAATACGGAGGTCTGTACAGGGAGTGGGGAAAGTTCAAGGAAGGGCCAAAGGGGACACAGGGCTGACATCACTCAGGGTCAGGGCACACTGTTAGTGAGATGGTGCTGAGGAAAGTACAGCAGCAGGTGAGCTGGGGCTCTGGGAAGACTGGTGCCTGTTCTTTCACACAGATCCACTTAAAAGTTGTGCCTGTATCTGGGCACACTCGGGGAAACTGTAACAGTCCACATCTTACTAAGAAAGATGTCTGCAAAGCTGTAAGGGCCAACTCTCTGATCCTAAGAATCACAAAAGGTAGGGGAAACCAGTCTCTCCCTCACTCTATCCATCAATTTACCAAGTGTTTGTTGATTCTAAGGCAGAATGTCCTCAAATCTGTCCACTCCTCTCCATTCTCCTAGACGTGACCGAGTAAAGACCCTCATTTCATTCTGCATCAGCTTCCCAACTTTTTGCTTTTAAGGCTAAGCTCTTTCAATCTATTCCCCACACTGCTGCCCAAAGGAGTAACTTTTTGAAAACCTTGCTACTCAAAAGTGTGTTTTAAATTAGCTGCATCAGTGTAAAGCCTCAGGCCCCATGAAGCAGAATATGCATTTTAAAGAGAAAGACGGGTGATGTTATGTAGAGTATACTTTGAAAAACACTGTCATAAATAATAGTTCTAGATATAAGTACTGAAGGCTTCCCACTACCTGCACAATGCCACTTGCAGCTCCTGTCACTGTCACACACCTATAACATGATGATTTCTTCTCAAGCACCTGGTGCTCCAGCCACATGGCTTTGGCACAGTTTGAGGGCCCTTTTATATACTTGCAGGTACTGCCTTTGCCTATGAGACATCCCATATGAGGTCAGACAGGGTACTGACTGAGGCTTAATAAGTTCTTAATGGACAATAGCTATGTAGTAAACCTACTAAGCACTTTACATATAATCTTTGATTTAATCTTTGTAATACCTCTTTGAAGTACCTGTCACTTGTCCCTTTTTCTTGGAGAGGACGTGGAGGCCTGGAAAGGTTAAGTAGCTTGTTGGAATCACCCTTCTAGGAAGGGGAAAGTCACCTGAAGCCCTGTGCTTTACTCCCCTGGCACTAGAACCTCCCTGTGTGTCTGACTCTTTTGTGGGCAAGCTCCTCCTTGCTTTGCAAAACCAAGTTCAAATTTGTACATCCTGCTGTCTGGCCCTAGTTTGGCTTTCCTCAGGTTGTAACTGAGACTTAGGGTGTGTGAGGGTCTTGTTCTATGTCCCCAGATGGTCCCCAAGTACTAGATCCAGATTTAACCCTGGACCTTCTTTTTCTGCAATTAAGGTGAAAAATGACTCTGGGTTATACACAAAGCCAGACTAGGCCTTCAGTTCCCAATAAATATAGAATAAAAGAGGCCGGCCATTTCAAGGAGAAGAAAGGTTCTTGTCAACGAGACATTGCTAGTATTTATTCTTCCTGAAGCCTTTCTCAAGATGACACCAACCAGCTGCAAATGGGGAGAAGGATCCTGGACTGCTTTCCCATCTCTAACCATAATGCTTTCTTTCCAGTTGAACACATTTGAATATGACAGGACAGGGCAAAGCAGGGGGAAGTGTACCATGCTTTATCCAGTCTGGAAATCAGATCAGCATTACTGTGCATCAGAACAGCTTTGGAAAATGACTCAGTGAAGCAATAATACACAGTTCTAAGAAATAAAACCTGGAATAACAACTCCAGGAAGTCAATTCTAGTAATTAAAAGAACCTGTGTTCTTGTTACCTGTGGCTCAAACACTTTGTTGTCTGATTTCTAAGAGCACTAATTTTGAATGGATCTAGGACAAGGTAAGAAAGAGGGCTTTGCACGTGTTTCTATTTGGAGTCCTTTTCTTACCCAGAAGTTGTAAATCAACTGTCCAACATGCCTGAGACACTAGTTTATGCCCTGGAAGGTAGTCAATTTGTCTGGAAGAACAGACATACATTCTACAGGTAAACCTGCTAGTAGGAGGGAAGTCTGCCTTGATTGGTTACAGGATAGTGTGCCTAGTTCTAGGCTGGCTGTCTGAGGAGCTTTTCTTGGCAGTGGCTCCGCTGTTATGAGAGCCCTGCTGTTCATTTCTGTTCATGTCAAAGGTTATAGACTGCTCATATATCTCCATTTCCCTGTGACATCTGCAGTCACTAAAATAAGGTTTAATGAGTGAGACACACTTCTCAGAGGTGAATGAATCCCTTAGAGGAGGGGTAAATGTACCAAAGATAAAGCCCACTATTTGGCAGCTAGAGTTGTACAGCAAAAGATTCCTTTTTATAGGAATGTGAAAAAAAAACAGAAAGAGCCTAAACCCATGCAAATATTTTTAAATTTTTGAATAATTCCTTAAAATAACTTATCACTATGTATTTCAATAGTAGGTGTTGGTGCTTAGTTAATACTTTACACACTAAACCCCTTTGGAACAAAGTTTATAGAATACCCAAATCCTTCTAAGGATTTACTACATGTGGTGCTTTTTCTAACTCAACCATTCTTAATCTCTGCTTAAGTTCAGTCCTGGTTCCCCCTTCACTCTTTCAGGAAACTCTACTCTCAAAGAGTCCTAGATTTTCCTAGACTGAACAAAGGTAATCTGTCCTCACTCATTAACACTCATGGCAAACCTAGCAGGGAGTGGCTGGGAGATCCTGATAATAAAGCCGAGTCCTGTCAGTTTGCCTCGCTGAATTCCTTGTACTGAAGTCCAGGGCATCCTAGGAGAGGCTTGAATGGATCCAGGCAGGCCAAAACTGTACTGCTGTTCTTCAGATCTAACCCAAAATCCTCCCTCCCCTGCCCATTTCTTCTTATCTGTCAAGAAGGGCTTCTGTTTATACTGGAAGCCTCACTTCCATTTCCTAGGGTTACAGGATATGGCTCTGTTACAGGACACGCCCTCCAGGGCCTCACCCAAACTGCCACTTGTGCCATTTGTAGTGACAATCAACCTTTCCTTTTACAGTTTAGTTTGTTTATGGAATGATGTCATTTGGGGAAGGAGATCTTTTCCCGAGGTAAGTATAATATACACTCAGACAAAAGGCTCAGTGCTGGGAATCAGGAGCAGTGCAACTTCTGTGGACAAAGCAACATGTGTCCCTGGACACACCTCAGCCTAATGGGGTCAATCTACCCAGCAAAAATGCCACTAAGGTACATGATATCACCATAAAACTGAGCTCTGATGAAAACCTCATAGGAAATTGTGTAACTAAAGATAAACCTGGCATAAACTAAAGATAGACTTGCCAAAAATCCACATAACTTGTGATAATGGATTGACAGTGAGTCTGTGGTAAAATAAATAAAGAAAGAAGGAAAGAAAGAAATAAAGTGAGAGAGAGAGAGAGAGGATCAGGTCATGAACTGGAATATTACTTTTGGTATGATATTTCTCCCCATGAGCCCTGTTTCACCACACAAGAATGACCACACCTGCACATAGGGAGGGAGGTGGTGAGGGTAAACTTCGACATAGCTATCATGGGGCCTAGGCCCAACAGTTTTGCCCATACTTGGGCTGGCTCCCTGTGGCCTACCTTCAGGGCCCAGAGGAGAGGCAAGGCTGGGACTTCACCTTGTGGTTGTAAAAGTGTCCATTGATAGAGAACTGGTGTTGCTGGATCCTCTGGGTCTCAGTGGGTGTGCAGCACCTGGGCCTCCTCTGGATCACACAGCCTGCATCACTTTTGGTATGCATAAGCTGTGGGACCTCCTTGTCCTCCTCCAGGGGCTCTGTAGTGAGAAATGATGACAGGGTCAGGCCCAGGTGGAATAACAGTGACAGAGAACTGTTGTGCCCCAGTGGTTGTGTGGTGCATGGGGCTCAGCTCCCTAGAGCCCTGTGGTAGCACCATACTACAGCAGATGGTAATATGAATGCTATTCTTGTGACAGAGGCAGGGTCCAGCTTGGTGATGCCCAGTTTGTAGACAGGTAAGGTGACCCCCAGGTAGGATAACCTGTGTTACCGTATCACATTGCCATAGCCTGTGGGCCTCCATCTCAGGGCACCCAGGGCAGGCCTTTTGCAGTCCATCTCTACCCTCTGAACAGGTCCTTCACTGACTGTGAAGGGAGGGAATGAAGAGGACAGACAAGCAGTTATGAATTCCAGAGTGTGAGGAGGGGTTGGTCTTACAGATCTGCGAGGCTAGGAGGGTTCCAGGCCCTCTGCTAACTTTCCCCTCTTTCTATAACTCAGCATGGTGCAGGAGACTCAGGTCACTAACGAACTATGTCACCTCTGCAAGCCTCTGCTTCCTTTTCTGTGAGGCTTCAGTGAGAAGGCCTTGTGTTCCCCTGAAGACAAATGAAGCCACTCTGCTACTCCACAAAGCTGTTCTTCAGAGATGGGGACTATGAGCCAACCCCTCCGCTCCCACCCAGGGTGAGTGAGACAGGGCTCCAGGCAGCTTGTGGTTCTGCTTACCTGAGCTGTCTCTGGAACTCTCAGCCCTATGCTCTGAGGGCTGAATGCTTGGCCTCTGGGCAGAGACACTGCCATCCTTAAGAGGTGACTCCTTTCTGAAAAGACATAATCATAATGCTGGCAGAGAAAAGTAAACAAGGCCAAAGGGAAAAGAGGCAGCTGCTTCTCAGAGAGGACACAGGTGAGAAGCCGGACAGGTTGAGCTGAGGTTGACATTTCATACCAAGAGAGTCATTGTAAAATAGTAAAAGAAAAGCACAGTATTGCCACAGTGTCTTCTGGAAAAAAGAGGGGGTCTGTTCTGAAGACCTAAACAGTCTCTGCTTTGCCACACTGCATGGACACATGGATGCAGCAGTGTGCACATGCATCTGGGCACCACACTGAAACAGGCCAATTCTGCTGCCATGTGCCAAGTGGGCTCTGGTGTCCCTCAGGCCTGGTGGAGAGCTGGGCAGAGGCAACCTTCAGGAGTCTGGCCCCTGGGCCTCTGAGCTGGAGAAGGAATAGGCATGATGGGAATCAGCCCCATAGCATGAAAGAGCCAGAGAGAGGCAGACAGAGGAGTCAAATCTACACTGACAAGCCTCTGAGGTTCCTGCTGTCTATGACTGCTTTAACCCTGGAAGCAGGAAACATGTCACAAGGCTTTTTATGAAACCCATCTGAATGAACTTTATGCTTTTAAGTCTGTGTTGCTCAAAATTTGATATGAGTGACTAGGAATACCTGAGAATGCACCAGGGGTGTCAATGTGCTAAAGATCCTGAGAGCAGCAACTGTATTTAAATATTTGAAGAGAAAAATGATATTAAATATTAATAAATTTATAAAGATAAATTATGATATTAAAATCAAAGCAGATCAGTAGGAGGCTAAATTTGTGTGAATTTTTATGGTAGAACAGAAAATGGTGAAAAACGTTCATCTTACAGAGGGACCTCCTGTCTATAGTCCTCTCTTCTTGCAGACAATGTGGTTAATGTGAATGTTTGAGAAACAAAACTGAAGGCGGTAGGAACCTGGAACAATCTTCAGGTGGGAAGTGACCTGGGTTATCCAGAAAGATTACCCTGCAATGCCGGCAGGTAAGGTCACATATGGGCAGGTGAGGCTGTGGCTGAGGCAGTCATGAGGTGACAGGGGTGAGACTGAGTGATGCTCCCACACTTGTGCCCCATAGAGAAGCAGGGCTTTGCCCACTGATAGCCCAAACAGTATACTCTGGTTGAACAGGTGTCATGGAGGCCACCTACCCACACCCCACCCAGCCCATACTCACAGGTGGTAGCTGGACTGTCCAGGTACCAATGACACTGAGAAGAGGTGCACTGGCTCCCTATCATCTTGTATCTGAAGCCGGATGGGCCGCCTCAGTCCCCAGGCAATGTTGAGGAGCCCCTCGATGATCAGAGCCCCTTCTGCCTGTGGAAACCTACACAGGTCAGTCATTTCCCCCAAAGGAAACGCCCTCAGGAGTCACTGCCTAACCTCCCTCAGCCCCTTAGGACCTAGCCCTCTGGACATGGGATGCCCGGGATACTCAAGCCCCCAAACACACCACCTCCTACTTGGGATCCTGCCCTGGTGGAAACCCATAAACTTCTACATAATCCAATGCACAAGTCCACAGGATCAACCAAATGAAGCCTGGAGCATATTTTTCCACTAGCTGGCCCTCACCTGGCCAAGGGAACAACTGGGGACAGTGTGGCTGAGTCAGGTGTTCCACAGGAACCCAAATGCTGTACAATGGTATGTCACTCAGGGAAGGAAATGTGGTCTAGGGAAGCACAGTGTGTCAACATCAAGGTGACACAGGGTGCCTCTCCACCCACAACTGTGCCTGGGTCAGGGTCCCATGGTCACCAGGTCCTACTGGGAACATGTTGAGGGTGCTGATTCCACATCTACCAGAACAGAGGTGGCAACTCCTCAGAGCTGGGTCTCAGCCTCACCTTCTCTCCACATTGTTCCCATTAGTGGCTGAACCCACCACCAGATTTCTAAGCTGGCTTCTTTTCTGAAGGCCTGTGTTGCTTTTCTCACTACCTGAGACATGGCCTGCCCCATGTCCAACATGGGCACGTACACTCAGAATACCCATTAGCTGCCCCATTGGCCCATGCACAGCAGCTGAGTCAGTCCTTCAATGAAGTAGCCAGAACTGCTGCACCCTAGCTCAAACCCTGCAGTGTCCTTCTACTCCCTCAAAGGAAAAACAAGGTCCATCCCTTGGGGTCTGCCAGACCCCAGGGTCCAATGACTTCCTCCCACAAGGGCCAGTTATGTGGGTCCCTTGCTGTTTGTCTCCTGAGTGTGTCCAGCACACTTCTTCTGCAAAGACTTTGCACATGCTGTTCCTTCCACTGGGATCACATAGCCACCATCTGTTCAGATCCCTACAAATGTCCCCTCTTAGAGAAGACACTCCTGACTACTCTGCCACGGAGGCAACTGAACTTTTCTTTGCAGCTGCTATCAGTACCTGAAATGACAGCACCTATATACTGAGCATGTGATTGTCTCCCTCACTGGAAGGAAAGCTCTAAAATGGAGTTATTTTGTTCATTGCTATGCACTCTGTGCCTAGAGCAGTCGCTGGTACATGGGAACACTGATTAGATACCTGGGAACGAGAAAACAAACAAGTTCTCATTTGAGAGCATTACATCTGGAAAGTAGCAAAACGAGGAAGCTCCACACTGTCCTTGGTCCCAGACCAATGTGGGTACATATCACCTTGGAGCAGGCTTAAGTATCCCTGACTTAGCTGCATCTAGGCTAAGCCCTGCATTACCATGCCTGGTGAAGCCTCCTCATAGGTTTAGGCTCTGGGTTCTTCCAGAACCAGCACTAGGCTCGAGTGTCTTGGAGTTGCAGGGTGCCGGTGTAATACAGTGGGGAGATGCTTCTAGGTGGTGGTAGCAAATCCTAGGGCTATCCCTCACAGCAGTCTGGGCCTGAGGTGCCCAGGAGTTGTGCCCAACCCACCCCCCAACCAGGCCTTGCAGAGTGCAGAGTACACATTTTCAGTGTCTCCCACAGGCACAAACACTTGTTCCAGGCTGGCAGCTAGGCCAGACCTCACACACCAAGCTGTTTTCCTCTGAGAGCCTTCCTGAATGCTGCTATTTTGGGCCCTCATGACAGGAACTGATGGCTATTGGAAAGGTATAAAAGCTGCAGGGCCTCAAACTTTGCCAGATAGCTCAGGAAGGCTTCTGCTCTGGACCGTGGCACATCGTCCTCACTGTCCTCCTCCTGAAAATCTGACCCCAGACACAGGGCTCTGACTGCTGGAACCCCACCCCTATGCCCCAAGTTTCTTGGCAGCTTCCCTTGGACTGCCCTTGCTTATCCAGTATCTCCACTACCCCTAGGTCCTCTCAGTTACAGGTAAGAGAAGGCAACTGCCCTCTTGATTTGAGATAAAACAAAAAGGCTTTGTGTATCTTCTAGGGCGGTCCTCAGCCTGGGATTTGCAAGACCTCAGTGTGGATTAGAGATCAGGGTGCAGTTAAAGGTAGTGACAGTATCTGTAGGGGGCTTTATATCCTAAAGGGATTTCACATGAAGTGTCATTCATGTGTTTCTCACAACACCCCTGTGAAGCAGGTATTTACAGTCCTGTTTTATGAATGAGTAAGTAGAGGCTTGGAGAGGTGACATTGCTAAAGGTCCCCAAATCAGGAAGTGGTAGAGCCTGGTTTTAAACCTAGGTTTCCTCTGACTTCAGTCTGTTAGGCTAGGTTCTCTTATTTGCACAGGTTCTTAAAATACAGTAATGATAGAGTCTTAAGTACATAGGCTTTTAATGTTGGCAGAAAGGATGGGCCAAGGGGTTTGAGCCTAGTCTTAAAATTGTTCTTAGGCAGCCTCAGCTGGGGCAGGGGCTGGGGAAACAGGAGTGGCATGGCAGACTCTCACCCTTAGTTCTCTGTCAACCAACAGGTTGCTGCTTCCCTGTGGTCGGCAGCCATGAGGTCCTGGCTTCTGCTTTCTGTGGTCTATGTGCCCACAATCTGGTAGAGGTGGGAGGAGATGCTGCCTGTGGGGCCTGGGCAGGAATCCCTGGCTTCCCTCAGCCTGGATGACCACATGAAGTCCACTTGTCAGCTGGTGCAGCCCACCTCAGAGCTGAAAGAGGATACAGTCAAGGCCCAACCCAGCAGACCCCACTGGCTAGCTCAGGCATGCAAAAAGAGCTACCTTACTGGGTCCCTACAGGATACCACCACTCGCTTCAGCAGCCAGCATCCCCCACTGCCTAGGGCTAGTACTGCCGATGTTCTGGACTGGCTCTTTGGTCAGTCCCAGGAAAGGCAGATGAGATGGAGGGACCTGCCAAGGAGGACTGGTCTCTCTGTTGAGCCCTGGGGTCCTCACAGACAGATGAATAGCAGCAAGGTCTTGGGAAGGCTCAGAGGGAAACTCTGTGATCCCAGGGCACCTAAGCACTATCTGGTGAGACCATTAAGGGACTAGAACCAGGGTTCCCAGACTTCCTGGCAACCCTTCCAGGCCGCAGCTCCACCCCTCCAGGCCCAGCCCCAGTAATGTTCTCAGAACTCTCTATTTGCACCTCCCAGTTATCCACTAACTCTGACCGCTCCCCAATAAAGGCTTCTGCACAGAGCAAGCTGGTCTGTTTCACTTCTCCATTTCCCAGGTCTTTGGGAGGGAAATGAGTTTCTGCAAGGTCTGCCTGCTCTTAACAATTTGTAGTGAGACCCTACTCTGAACAGTAAGAACAGCCTATTGCACATGATGTCATGTTACTGGTCCCATTTGCATTGCTCCTTACAGGCCGATCACCTTGGGTAAGTTACTTAATACCTCTGTTTCTCAGTTTTCTCATGGGTGGAATGGGAATAATTAATGGGAACTGCTTCTTAGGCTGCTCTCAAGAGTAAATGGGATAAAACTCAGACATATCATGGGTGCATGTTACAAGCCTATACATGAAATAGCTACTGCCTATGTGGGGAAATGAGGTTGGGGCAAGAAGTGAGATCTCTACCCCCAGTAGTTTCAGAGTGAGACTGTGGGTGCTCTCAAGTCAACCCCCTGGCCTCCACCTTCAGAGCCTAGGTTCTATGAGGCCCAAGAGAAAACACGGGGTCTCAGCAAATGACCTCACTGTGTTTTGGGGGAACCTGTCACTGCTGTATTGGGGGGTACCTCAGTGGCTCCAGCTTACAAATCCTGTTGTATTATCAGGAGTGTTTTCCCCAGGCTAAGGGCCAAGATAGAACCTGCACCAGCTCAGCCTGAAGGGTGCCAAATGACTAGACCAGGTGATCTTGTCCCCTCCTATCTCTACCCTTTCCTGCTTCCACCCAGGGACCTCAACTGTGGGGTGCAGAGTGTTGTCCAGCTGCTCTGTTCTCAGGCAAGTCCAGGGGTCAAGGCCTCACTCCACATATCCTTAGACCCAGATCATCTTGGGCCAGTCCTTGGTCCCCCAGAAACTGGCAAAACTCCATTTCTTGGAGGAATCTGGCAAACAAGGAGGTGAGGGTGAAAATTAGAGGAGAGGGAAGATTTCCCTCCTCAGAGAGGTAGGTGACACATCAGAAAACTCAAAAGAATCAGGCCTGAGAACCTGTCACCCAGTTCCCTTGGGCTGGGCCACAGTTGGCTGACCCTGGTCAGAGTACAGGGACAGGGAGGAGAGAAGGACAGAGCTGGGGCTGCAGCTAAGCTCACAGCCTGCCTCAGCTTCCTCTACCTCCTTGGTCTGTGGACTATCAAACTTTATTTTCTTTCTTTCTTTTTTCTGAAAGCTATTTTTAATCTTTTTTTGACTTTCAAAATGTCATCTGTCTTCTTTTATGTGTTCTGTAAGGAGGCAGAATGTAAACCATACATTTAAAAGAATAAGTTTCAGACAAGCAGTTTCCTTATTTTTGAAATGGGGACACTAACACCTGTTTTTTTATACTTTATAACAGTTGGGGAAACTAGACAGATTAACTTAGAGATGGAGTTATAAGCACTGCATACAAATGTTTGCATCTGTCACACCAGCTATGTCAATGGTTGGCTCAAACTTCTCTGGCAAGATCTGTGTGGGTGTGCCTTCAGCCAGAGTGTCCTTAGGACACTCTGAGGGGAGGGTTGATCTACTGAGTGGGAGCTTGGCTGGTGACTGGATGGAGGCTCACTGGGCTTAGCCACACTGCAGCTCCCCTGCAAGGTAGCATGAAACCAGGCAGAGGGAGGGAATTAGGCTGACCTGGCCAATTCTCCCAAAGCTCAGGGACCACAATACTGTATCTGGGGGTGAGGAGACACTGGGGTTCTGGTATCCTCTGCTAATGTCTCTCAATGTAAAAGAAATTAATGGTACCCTCGAAAAGTGCCAGAAAAGAAAATGAATGCAGGGCTGAGGAAGGGGGTTCTGGCATTCAGTGTCCTAAGCTCCTGACTTCCAGGACTGAACAGCCTCGAGAAAGTCCTCGTGGTAGGGGTGAGTCCTCCCACCACTATTGGAGAGAAGGACACAATGTCCTACCTGGGGGCAGGGGCAGGCTAGGATGATTTAGGAGTTCCAGGGAATATGTCCATGGCCAAGCACTCATACAGGGGCCAGTGGTCTATCAAAAGCCCATAATTACTTTTCTTAGGCTCTGCAAAGTGCTTGTGGTTGAGGGTAGAGACTGGGTGCAGTGCCTGACCAGGGCCTCCAGGAAGAGCTTTTAGCCCACTGAGAGCTGAGCACAAGGTTGGGTCAGGGGGCCAGCTCTCAGAGGGGTCACACCTGCACACACCAGGACATGAAGGTCAATTAGTAATGAATTTACCCAAAGGTTGTCCATTTTTCTCTTGAGACACCAACTAGCCTGGTTAAAATGCTTTGCTATCTTTAAAAGGTGCAGATTGCTCCCAATTGCCCCTTTCATTATCCAATTGCACTTTTCATTATCCCAAAGGCAAGGTTCACAATAGAGGAAGCTAGTGTCTTGGCCTCCTAAGAGGGGAATCGTTACACCCAGCTCTTCAGGACATGTGCTCCAGTCAAGGCCCCTGGCCCCTGACTACTGACACACTTCATCTCTCCAAGTTCCATGGACCCTGGATAGGACGGTGGCAAAGTAGTTCCCTAAAACTGTAGCAGTCAGGCAGCAGTTGCTCCAGGGGAGGCCCAGTGACAAAAAAAGGAGGGATCTTCTTCAAGGGCCCCACTTGGCTCTGTGAGAGCACACCTGGTGCTGAGCCCTTCGGCAGCCTGAGGGCACCTTAAATGGGGTGCCAGATGGGGTGCCATACTTAATACTGCCAGTGGTGTTGCTATTTTGTAAACATCCATGCTCAGGTCTCAAGGCCACGCCAGCACTTTTACTTACTGCTGTGTCACCTTGCTTGACAGGCTCAAACTCCAAAAGCCTCAATCTCTGTCTGGAATATGGTGGCTCCTATGTTGCAAAGCTCTTGTATTACAAAAAATGAAATAGAGGTGAAGTGCCTGGTGTGTGTCTGCTGTGCCCTTGGGGCCTGCTGTGCCCAAGGAGAGGCTGACCAGAGGTGGCACTGCAGCAAATGCCTGGAATCATGAGATCCACAAGGCCCAAGAAGCCCCAGGTCTGCATTCTGAGAAACTGCACAGGTTCAAACGCTGAGTTGTGGGTAGGTTATGGGGGGACTTGGTGTCCTAGGAACCATTCATATGCTTCAGTGTCAGAACTCCATGCCTTCCATGCCTACAGCCTAACTCTTTGGTGGCTGTTGTCTCCCAAACAGGCACACTCCCTCAGGCTGGCACCCCCTTGGCTGCAGAAGTTTCCTGAAAGGTACTTTCCAGCTCCAGGGAGACCAAGTAGGACCCTCACACCTTTTTCAGGGTTGGGAACATTAAAATCCTTGCTGTAGGATGTTAACTTCCTTTGCTGGGGACTGTAAGGAGCACCTCTTACCACTGTGAGGTCTCCCACTTCTTCATGAGGACTGTCCCATCACACACAAACAGGTTTTTTCCCAGGTTCCCAGTTTCCGAGCTTCCCAGCCCAGCTCCCCACACAGCTGTTCCTTCAGAGGGGACTGTTGTAGGGAATCCCAAGTGCCAAGACCAAGCTCTTAGATCAGCAGATCTCAAAAGTGGCCTTCCTCCTGGATCTCCTGGAGGTCCTTTAAAACAGAGATGGGACGATGAAGAGTTTCTCACTCGTCAGGCCTGGAGGAAGAAAGGTGGTAAGAACTGCAGTTCTAACAAGTTCCCAGGTGATGCGGAAGCTGCAGGTGTGGGGACCACATGTTAAGAGCCACCATGATCTTAGATCAGTCCCTGAAAGGCCCAGAGCCAAGGAACAGGGCCCAGCCAGAAGACTCCACCCCGTAATGTCAACACAAGAACTGAGGTTGGCCCAGCTCCTCATTCAGCAGCACAGGTCATAACTGCCCAGAACACTGGAGCTCAGGATTCAGTCCAACTCACCCTAGGCCTGCTGGTTAGCCATCCAACTCCTATGCCCAGGACCACACAATGCCTGGCACAAGGGGTTCAAAACCAGTCAGGCAGGCAGGCCCAGCTCTGGGGGCTCCCACTAAAGTAAGAAAACAAGCAGTGAAACCAGAGACAACAGGGCAGTGGGATCAGAGACCTGCCATAGCAGGAGGGAGCTTGGTCAGGTGGGGTTGTGTAAGAGAGGCCACTCTGCAGAGGGAAGAGCATTAGCCAAGGAGCACTTCACAGAACAAAGTAGGGAACAAGTTATCAGGGGTGGCCCAGGCCGCATGCCATTGAGGTGGAGTGTGAGGTTTGTACCAATCAGGTCATCACATACAGCCCAGCACTGCCTGGACCAGAAGCCAGCAGCTTCCCCCTTGTCCAGGCTCCTGAACTGTGTGACAATGGCTTGGCTTGGCTGACTGAGTATCTTAGGTGGTTGAGCAATGCGGTCTGGCAGGTGGGTTTCAGTTGGCTCTCCTTTGTGCCATTGACAGATGATGGCCAGTTGCTCACAACTTCCTGGACATTGGGGCTCATCCTGTAGTCCACAGGTGGCAAACAAAAGGCCCAAGGGCCAAATCTGGCCCTCCACCTTGTTTTATCGGGCTCTGCATCTTGTTTCTACCCAGTGGCAGTGCTGAGTTCTCACTTAATTGTTAAGGAGTAGTTATATTTGTACAGTCCTAAAATTACATTTGGCCCTTTGATGGCAACTGTGAGGCTGATGTGGCCCCTGGCGAAAATGAGTTTGACACCTCTGCTCTAGTCTGAGAACTGCAGAAGGATGTGTGGCTGTTTGGCTACAGAGGATGAAGATTAATGAGCAGTGGCTTCCACCTGGATGAGGTGTCTGTGTGTTGATGGGGGCTTCAATTGCCCATTGTCATGTTCAACAACACAAGGGGAGCTCAGAGGCTGCTACCTCTCATCAGATGCTGACAGGCCAGAGAAAGTCTAGGAGTTACCTGATCTCAACTTTGGAAACCCAACCCAAATAAAACCTTACCACAACAAGACTTTACAAATAAATTGAGTCAGACCAAGGTGGGGTCCCAATTCCCTAACCTGGGTTCCCTTGTGAAAGGTCTGAAGGTTCTAGATGGTGGCAAGACTAGGCCTCTACTTGATTTGCTCAGTGAGGGGCTCCCAAGCCTGGGCCCTGCTGGTCATTCCCTGGAGTCCTACAGACATGTTTTGTTTATTCCACATGGGATTTTGAAGGTTGGGAAATTCCACATGAAATTGCAGATAGCTAGCTTCTTTTGAAATATCAGAAAGGGTCTGAGTGTGCCAGGCCACATTCCTGCACAGCATCAGTGGGTTTGATTTGATGGGCAGCAGTGGCCTACAGGTGGGACCCATGCTCTCCCATGTTCCCCACTCCCTATACCAGCCCTGCCTTTCACATTTGAACCTGCCTGGCTCTGTGAGCATTCTTTGGGGAGATCTCCTCCATTTCAAGCATTCCCTCTTATGTTTATTCTGATTGACAATTGACAGGCACAGAGACTCCTTTCACACCTCAATGGCCCTGTGAACTTGGGCACACCAGAGTTCCTTATTTGTGCTGTGGGATGGGTGGTCTCAAAGATTTCAAACTCCAATGTCCTGGCAATTCACCTAGACAAAAGTTCCAGCTGGAAGGAGAAGGTCCACAAGATGATTTCCACCACTCTGAATTTTCACAGGAAAATTCTGACCTTCTGCACCCCTTTTAGGGACCTGACAGAGAGTTCCTGGCTGCTGGTCACCTGGTCCCCAACTCAGAAGACAGGTGACCTCATGATTCATTATCCAAATACTCTCTTCTGAGAGTAAAAGGGATGGTTTTAATAACTACCCTGAAATAACAGGTATAAACCAGGACTGTTTTCTGCAAATGGTGGGTAAATGGTGATTCTATGAAAGAAGAAAATAAACTGGCCTTACCTCTCGGTGTCTCAGCTGAAAGCTTCTGCCCTCATGGTAGCAGTTGTAGGTTTTCAGCAGGGTTAAGAGCTCTGACCTAATAAAGGAAAGGCACACACATACTTCTGGAGTGTGACCAGGCTTTTTTTTTTAACTGACATTTATAGTTAATTTCAAAATTTGAGCAGCAATAGCCTCAGTTTCCTCATTTGCAGAATAGGCATAATAGTACATGTCATGAATGGTCACACTAATTGGTTAAGAGACCAGATTGCCACTGGACACATGCCTTTCAGTCTTCTTGAGGATGTTACTCATCAGTCCTCATGGAAGTCATAGGGGTGGAAATTAGAGGGAAGTGAAACTCACAGATGGACCAAATCATTGTACCTAGGGCATTTGCACACTTTCATTATTGTGGGTAAAATTTCCTGACAGACTCCTTGTATTTTACTCGAGTCACTTCCTCAAATAAATCTCGGGCTTGGATTACCGACATTTTAAAGCCTCCTGCTTTCCCCCCCATTATCAATATTTCCTACAAGGGTCTGGTATGGCTGCTTGTCGGGGTACCATCAGGGAAGCCTGTCTCTTTCCCATCCCGACTTCCTGGAGGTATGATCAAGGGATGAAGATGTGAGTGGTGAGTAAGACCCCAGAGGCCCTAGGGAGGTCACTCTGCCCAAATGCTTTCTCCTCAGAATAAAAGGCAAAGTCACACTTGTGCCTTGGCTGGGGTGTGGCAGAGAAAAGACAATGACAGCTGCCTGTACCCAAGCTGGGCAGCACCATTCAGTAGACATAAAATGTGAGTCACAGATATAATTTTTAATCTTCAGTAGCCACACAATACAAGGAAAAATTAAATAGGTGAAGTTAGTTTTAATAACACATGTCATTGAACCCAATATATCTAAAATAGTATCATGTCAACATGTAATCTATATACAAATATTAATGAGATCTTGCTTATTATTTTATTTTGTAAGAAGTGCTTTCCCCTTGGAGCATCTTTTATATGAATGACACTTCTCTAGCCACAGATCATGTACTCCGTAGCCACACCTAGCTGGTGGTTCCCCTGCTAGATAGCTTAGCTCTAGAACTTTCTCAGGTAGCAGGTGGTGGCCTTCACTGTGATGGAACAATCCAAACTGTGGGTGAGCAACACCACTCTGTAATGTGGGGGTGATGGTAACTTACAGGGAAAGGGGTTTATAATGTCATGACAGCAACAAAGCAGGATTCAATGTTGCATGTTCACTGTGCTTGAAGCATGTGCACGCTGAAACAAAATGGTTAGGATACATACATGAAATTAATCATGCTGTGGTGATTATGACTTTTCCCAAAATGGTAGTTAATGTTGTTCTTATAAAATTTAAATAAGAAAAATGATGGTATGGTAGCATTGTGAAATGATACACAATGGAATGCCATCTGTTTTCTTAGGGTCTCTAATAAGAGGACCCCAGGGTGCGGGGCTCCAGGGAACCAGTCCACATCCAGCAGGTGGCTTATCCTCAGGATGGCAGATAGGAGGTCCCAAATTAGAAAATATTTAGACTCAGAATTCAAAAAGCAAGATAAAATGATAACTATACTTTTTAAATGAATTTTAAAATGAATTTTAAAATGTTTAGGATACTTTTTAAATGAATTTTAAAAAGTATCCTAAACATTTTTATGAGAGTTAAAACAGAGTAAGCAAAGTTAAAAATTATTAAGTTAATAACATATACTTCATCAGTAAAAATTCAAAACTCATTTTGAGTGTTTTTTCTTTAATTGTTTAACATATAATAAGAGTGTTATTATTGCTCCAGTTATTTTTATTTGTTTTTCAGTACTGCTCTAGTTTTTAAGTAAATACCATTTCTGCAGAATCACATTGAGTATTGTCACTTTCCTGCTTTTGTGGACCAGAGGGGAAGAGGTCAAACCCACATTCTGAAGAGATCCTCGATTTCCAAAGAGACAGGCTTCAGAGATGACAATGACAACAACAACAACAACAACAACAACAACAACAACAACAACAACAACAACAATGTTCTCCCATCACTCTCCCTGGAGCAGGCACACCTCATATCTGTGAAAAGTGCCCAGAATCCCTCCATCCAAAGGCTGCCTATGGAGTGGGGTGGGGCTGGGGGGCGGGCACAAGGGGACCATAGGCATGTAGCTCTCCCAGAACAAGGGGACCATAGGCATGGGGGGCGGGCACAAGGGAACCATAGGCATGTAGCAGGTCCTTACTTTAGAATGGATTTGTTGTCATTGACAGGCACTTGAGAACTGTGTGGACAATCTTCCTTCATCTTCTCCTCCTGTCTGCAGACTCGGAAGTTACCTGCCAGAAAGACCAGGAAGGGCAAGCAGACAGGTGAGTGGGAGAGCAATGGCTAGTGCAGCACTCAGAGCCCTGGTGTGGAGGCCAGCAGCCTGGTCTCACCTTGCACTTCCCCACGTTCCCAATCCTTCATTCCCTTGTCTCCACCTCACTCCTACTCTCTGGCAGAAGACGACCACAGCTGAAGGGTCAGGCCCAGAGGACTTAGTGGAATTCCATGCATGTGACACACACACATAAGCCAAGTGGTCCCTGGTGGGCCAAGGTCAGAACTGCCAAGTCAGCTGTTCCAAGCCCAACAGCCCCATTCCAAAAACTCCTCTCCATAATACCTAGGAATCAGGATCAGTCTTCTAAATGTTTCAGATCAAGTGCTTCCTTCCCTCCGCTGGGACACCCTGAATAATGGTTTCTGTCGCAATTATTCCTCCAAACCTCCAAAGTAGGCTTACCTTCTCCATTTCCACTGAGCCCACGGTGGGTGGTCCCATGGCTGCCATTGGGGTTGACACACCTGGGCCAGCTATCCTAATGATGGCTTAATAGGTACCATGTTCACTACTTGCCACAGACTGTGTGGAGCATTTTCTGTGAATTATAGCAGGTCCTCGAATAACATTGTTTCATCAAGTGCTACAACATTGATGAGATGCTGTAAGAACTTAACTCTCATTTATATCATTTAGCCTACTGTGAAATTGGTTTCTTTAGATGTTGTTTTGCTTAAAATCATAGAACCTATTGCCAACATTAAGTGAGGGTTTACTGTATTTTGTTTACTCCATACAACATTATGAAGTAAATATCATCCTATTACTATTTTATGGATGAGAAAACATGAACAGAATTTAACCACTTTGCCCAAGATTCCCAGTAATTGAGGCAAAGCCACTGTTTGAACATAAGCACTTAGAGCCCATATAAGATAGATCTTAGAGCCCATATCTTTAATTGTTCTCTTAAGTCCTTTTCTATAATATATTGATCTTGGACAGCGACTTAACCCCTTGAGGAAAGAGTGAAGATAGGGAATATATAAAATGGAATGACTTTAACTAAGCTGTGAAAATTGCTAACATTGTGAAAACTGAAGCATGAGAAAAGATTCCATTCTTCTTCTAACTAGCCCAGGAACTTAAACTTTTTGGAACTTTCTAGTCCTGTGTCAATGCCTGGACATACATCTAGGCCTCTAGGTAACCCTCTAATTACTCTCTGAAGGACTCACATATACATCAACCTGACATCTGTTATCCAGACCACTGGGACATGACCAGATCTCCTTGCACCCATGTTCCAGATGACCCGACATCCTTCACCCTGTTATTTGACTGATTACTATCCCAGAGCAATCCTAGAGCTAAGAATGCATGACTGATAATTTTCAAGAATGCACTTTTGCTATAAAAACTTTTAACTTTTCTTTCTTCTTTGGAGCACTTCTGGGCTTTTGCCTAACTATGTTTCCAGTCTGCAAAGTCCAAGACCCTTGAATAAATCCTTATCTATTTTTCTAGCAAAGTTTTCTAACTATTTTTGAGTTTAACACCTCTGAGCCTTCCTTTTCTCATCTATACAATGAGGTAATCTCTGCCCAGCAGGATTATTAGTGGATCCACACAGGAAACTATCTATGTCTCTTCCCACTCACAACCTGGAAAGGTTTGTGGAGCTTCTCAAAAACTCCAGGTTGCTCTGATAAGTGTAAATTCACTGGAACTTTCTTGTTGTCTTGTTGGCATCTTTTGCACTGATTCTTACTTCTTTAACTTTTTCCACATTACTCCAGCCGAGGACACTTTTAATCAAGGCCCTTTGTGTGTTGGGCAGTGAGCAATAACTTCACACAGTCTCTACAATTTTGACCCTGCCTCTACCTCCATTCTTTCAAATAGCAACTGGGAATCAAAGGGATTAGAAAATCCTGGGAGGTGGCACAGACAGGGTGTATAGCCTGTCTTTCACACTGAGAGTGGTTCCTTCACAAAATCCCTACATCTGCTCATACAAACCTGGCTCAGTCACATCTTCTTGACCTGTATGCGTGCAAATGTTACTGTGGGTCCACCTGTTGTTCTATTACTATCCTCGAAGTAGAGCCTGCCACTGCACAGTGCTTTGTCCCCTTGGGCACTGACTCTCACAGATCCAGCACACCCTCCTCCTGCTTGCTTGACACCACTAACAGCCAAGATGAGCCTTCTTCTCTGTTGGAATTAGCACTTGATTCTGGAAGCAGGGGACACAAGGTTGGTATGGAAAGGGGGAATTATTTGATGGAGGTGGGCTTCTCAGTGACCTCAGAATCATTCTATAAATACCTCCCCTTCTACCTTTGTCTAGAGTGGGGCAAATCTCAGCCTGAAGAGAGGGAAGGTTCCCAGCTGTAGCCAGCACAAGGCCCTACCCCTATTGGGCACCATGGGGCTTGATGAGGGGACCCCCTGCTGAATTCTTCTAGGCCCATTTCAAAATAGGGTTTCATTTCCTCAGCACCACAGTTCTGGGAAAAACATGACATGTCAGGTGTCCCCTCTGGGTTCTTCCTCAAATACCTACTACAGAGAAGCTGGCTTAATTCTGGGTGTAAGGCTGGGTGTCTGGGGTTCTCATTTAATGCTGTTTCTGTGGGCACATGACATAAGGATATCTTGCTTGACAACCTCAATACAGAAGGGCTGCATTTACCCAGAACAGGAGGTGGTTTTTCTCTTGCCTTCCTCTTTACTGGGCTTCTCTCCCACTCCTCCCCACTTGCTGCTCTGAGCTCTAGCCTTCCTGAGCTGCTCCCTGTTTCCCTAAAAGGCTCTGTGGCTTTTCCTCCATTTGGGCTTTCATGGTGCTGTTGTCTACTCAGAACCCAGCCTTCTCCCTGTCCTCTGCCCTGACGTTAGCTTCTCCAGAAGTTGTTCCTCTCATGCCCTGCTCCTGCCCCCAGTTCCCACTTGTTTTGACTCCCTTGGGAGAAGAGGAGTGCAGTGCTTCAGGGATGCTGCTTTTCTGCCCTGTTTCCAGCATCAAACACAAGACTGGCACATTGCAGGAGGTTCATAAATAGCTGTTAAATTATTAGATGAATACAAAAAGCCCCATGGGTACCCAACAAATCAAATTTTCCAGAGTTGTATATATATAGTTGGAATAAAACATATAAATGTCTCCAGGGCCAGGGAAGTGATCCAGCTGAGACACTGGTCAGTGGCATTCACGATGAGTTGGGGAACACATCCCTTCTCTAGAGGGGCAGCTCTTATGGTGTTTCAGGAGAAGCCAGACACCTGGGTTTTTACTGGCTATTTTTCACTATCTAAAGCTGGGGGACTGGCAAAGACAGTGACTGGCCCTGTGACTATGTGATGGCTCACATTCTCCAGCCCTTGCAGTTGTGGGGCCACATGACTAACTCTGCAAATGGAAGTGCAGTGTGTCATTTCCAGGTCAGCTCAGGTGAGCCACTGCAAACTTGCAGCTCTCCTGTCCCCTGCTACCCTAAAAGTCACATGTCCCAACTGGTGCATCTTCCTGATGGGCAGTCTGTGATTTCCTGGGTGGACTAGGCACTCCATGGATTGGGAAAGAGAAATCAGCCTCTGCTGTGATAAGCCCCTGATCTTTCAAGGATTTGTCAGTGCAGTATAACCTAGACTATCCTACTGGAGTACATAATTCCAATGGAGATTATATATATGTATATATATCTCCAGACAAAACACACTTGCAAGACAGATAGATGCCCTTGGTGGGGCTCCAGTTTGTGATTTCTGATTCATGACATGACTCAGTTTATAATACTTTCATTCTCCCACAGCATGTGGGGAATATGCTGCTCATTTTGCTCTATGTAGTAGGAACACATAGGTGGATTTCTCTGCAAGTCAGGCAATGACTAGTTATGAAAAGAAGATGTTTCCTACAGAGTTCTCGGCTCGGAGCTGCTAAAGTACCATGTGTCTTCAAATGCATGTATTTTCTTTAATTATATATTTTTAAGATTTTATTTATTAATTTTTACAGAGAGAAAGGAAGGGAAGGAGAAAGAGAGACATAAACATCAATGTGCGGTTTCTTCTTGTGCACCCCCTACTGGGGACCAAGCCTGCAACCCAGGCATGTGCCCTGATTGGGAATTGAACCAACTACCCTTTGGTTTGTAGGCTGGCACTCAATTCACTGAGCCACACCAGCCAGGGCTGCATGTATTTTCTTCTCTGAGCCTTAATTTTCTCTTCTGTAAAATGGAAATATTGACCTATGATAGGATAGAAATTTTCTCAACTGTAGAACTCTGTTCAAATGAACATTATACCAAATCAGATGAAAGGGGGCTGCTTTTGTTGTGTGAGGTGGGTTGCAGGGAGCCCCATCCAGTGCCTTACCTAGGGCTCTGGATAATACTATTTGCAAAGCACTGGGCTGGGTATCACATGAGCTCTTCCTCACATTGGTTTTCAGTAGTGTTTTACCCCTGAGAGGCTGCAAATTCAATGGCTATGACTAAGGTGCTGAGTGTCTCCAACTGGAGTTGGGTAGCATCATCTGGGGGAAGCTGTGCAGAAGAAGGAATCAGAAGGAAAGAGAAGTAAGGTCCTGGATGGCAGATGGCATAGTGAAGGGAGAAAGGGGGAGGTGGGGCAAAGGGTAGGTGGCTTAGTTTACAGGGTCAGAGAGTGAGGTCTTGATAGCAGACTCAAGAGTTAGAAAATTTTAGTTTAAGGTAAAAAGTTATAAGCCTAGCAAGTAATGGATATGTTAAAGCTTTTGTTTCAGAAACTACAGATAAGGCCCATCCTGGCTTCTGGGAAAACAGCTGACCTCCTGGGGCACTCCTAAAGATTACTGCCCGAGGACAACTGGTGGCATCCCAGCCTTTGTGTTCCAGGGAGAGACAGAGGACCACCTGCCCCAGCTAACAGTTAACTGCCCAGGACAGGAATGTTGCAGCTTCTTTCACGTAATCCTCCCTGAATCTCAAAGTCCTCACTTTGAGAAAAGATAAGATG